TCAACATTCGAAACATATTAGAGAAATGCAGAGAACACAAACATCCCCTCTATTTGTGCTTTATAGACTATAGCAAAGCATTTGACTGTGTGAGCCACTCTCATTTGTGGAATACAATGGCAAAGATGGGGTTCCCAATTCACATCATCGAACTGATCAAAAACCTCTATCATGACCAAGAAGCAACAGTGAGAACCAGTAACGGCAACACTGAGTGGTTTGGAATTGGCAGGGGAGTATGTCAAGGCTGTATACTGTCTCCTAACCTTTTTAATATTTACTCTGAGGACATTATGAGAAATGCTCTGGAAGGATTCAAGGGGGAGTTAAGTTTGGAGGTAAAAAGATCACGAACCTAAGGTATGCTGATGACACCACTCTCGTTTGCAGCAGCAGAGAGGAGCTGATTGATTTATTGAATAGCATCAAACAGGCAAGTGAAGAGAAAGACCTTCTTCTAAACACCAAAAAGACAAAAATAATGGTTGTCAATAGAGATTATGATAACACTGACTTCACCGTAGCTGGAAATAAGATTGAAGTGGTTAATCGGTTTGAGTACTTGGGCTCAATTATCACTAACAAAGGAGAGAGCACCACAGAGATAAGAAGAAGGATGGCAATGGCAAGATCGACAGTACAGAATATGTCCCACATCTGGAAGAGCAGAGGCCTATCTCTCAGTCTGAAGGTTTGTCTGCTTCAAGCAACTTCTTTCTCTATTGCTACTTACGGAAGTGAGTCCTGGGCCATGACAAAAATGACAGAAAGAGAGTTGATGCCTTTGAAATGTGGTGCTACAGGAGGCTGTTGCAGGTGTCATGGAAAGATAAAAAGACAAATGTGTGGGTCCTGGAAAAGATTGGAACAGACTTGACCATCAGAAGGGGAATCATGGAAAGAAAACTTAACTATTTTGGGCACATTGTTAGGAGATCTGAAGGTATTGAGACGCAAATACTGCAAGGAGCAGTCGAAGGAAAACGAGGTAGAGGTCGTCCACCAATATCTTGGACTGATGAAATCAAGAAAGTGTCTGGACAAGGAATGAAAGGTGCAACACAAATGGCAGCTGAAAGAGTTGCATGGCGTGCTCTCGTGAAGGCCACAGCAGCGCGCCACCTGAAGTTGACAATTATGATGATAAGTCAATAAAAGTCAATATGATGAATTCACTGCCTCGGATCATGAAATTGCCCATACGACTTTAAACAATTGCTGTTGTATTTTTTTCCTCTTCAATTCTACCATATACAATAATATCACACTAAAAATTATAACTAATTGATATAGATAAATAATAAATCAAAATTTGCGGTTCATGAAATTTTCCATACAACTTCAAAAGATTGGGTCAGAACCCTGCATGTTCCAGCTACCTTTACACATTACCGACATTATATTGATATACAACATGCTTTGAACTGCAAACGAATTGGAGCAACATATGTCCCTCCAAAATCCTTCTTGAAATATCATGGTAATTACACAAAAAATAATGAATATTCCCTGAATCTTATAGTCAAGTTCTCTTTTTCTTTTAGAATGCGAAGTCAATTCCCAATCCATCTTCATTATATTCTACTGAATCCATTTGAATTCTGGTCCATGTGAAAACTTGAAAATAATTTTATTGAACTCTAAGCCAAATCAAAAATAGGGATTACCAGGGGGGTGTTTCATAAAGCTGTTCGTAAAGTTACGCATGACTTTACGAACGAATTGTATATGAAAAGCCAAATGGGATGCTCAATCATTATTGATTTTTATTTATTAAGTTGAACTGTGCAGATGTAGATTAACATTCTTATTATAAACATTTTTAATGCAAAGTATATTTTTTTGCCATAATTTAATTGAGGATATTGGAAATATCAGAACAAAATTTGGGCATCCTATCTGGAACTTCATATACAAGTCGTTCGTAAAGTCATGCGTAACTTTACGAACTCTTTATGAAACACCCCCCTGCATACGTAAGATATTCAGGTTCATCCAGTTTCCTTCACACATTCTCTACCCCAGATATACTTCCCAAAACGTGTTGTTCAATTATTACAGAAATTTTCAATTTATCGTAATTCTAATATCCATTATTATATAGAAATGAGATCTTATGTAACTATTGAAAGATGGAATTGCTTTATTCCAGGTATGATTATAACAACTTCTAAATAAAAAGTCACTGAGATTTCAAAGTGATATAAAGTATATAAAAACATGAAAAAAATCTGTTAGTAATATATATTTGTAAACATTCTTGGTAAGAAATAGAGATGTTATAACTTCAACTGGGTTGTAAGAACAATTAGATATTCCAATATTCCGTTGAGGCAAATTAGGCCTGCATTATGAGGAATTGTATCATATACATTCTGTTGACTTATGCAATAAATCGCTTTCTGTACACATAAAGTTTGTCTCCGTCACAAGCTACAAGGTTACCAGAAGGAATTACGAGGCATGGGTTAGTGGACTTATAGATGTTCCGGTCTGATTCCTCGTATTCCACGATCCTCCTTGCCTGGATGATACCATCACATGACACCGTATCAACTGCGTAGATATTACGCTCTCTATCCCAGTGTGTGATGTAGAGTGTGTCTGTCAGTTTGTCAACGCGACACCATGACACGCACCACTCATCAGAGTGTATGACAGCCTTCTCTTCTCCTGATCGTGAGATGACAGTGAATCCATTATCATCTGTCTTCACAGCGATATCACCTGATGACAAGGCTTGTATCTTACCCCACACCTTCTTGCACTGCATCGTAATAGTGTTTACTATCTTACCATCAGCAGGGTTGATGACGTAGATATTAGGCTGATTGAACTGAGCAGCGACGATCATCCCATCCCTGTCAACATCAACCTGCATACTAGTATTAATAGAGCGGTTATTCCTCGGTATGCTGATGTCTCTAATCACCTTCCATTGTTTGTCATAGAGAGTGATGCATCCATCCAAGCTGTCGCTCATGAAGCCTATTCTCCCCTTACCACATACTATAACGTTGCCGTCTATGGGGGCGCATGATGTAATATACATGTACATGCTACTTCCTCCTTCAATGACGTTCTGTGTGTGTTCAGTGTTGATATTTGTAACATACGTCGTATTGTTCTTTACGTCCCGCACACATATCTCATCATCACTGATCGAACCACACACCCGTGGGTAATTAACAATCGGTGGAATGTGGATTGACTTGACAAGCTCCCATTTACAGATATAGCCATCAATTCTCCCATAGTGTTCTCCACCTACTTCACCCTCGACAAACTTCACTCTCTGAACTTCACGCTGTATCCGGTCAAGACAGTCGCTAATATCTTGATGAACATTTGAACTTATATTGTTATCTAGGGATGCAAGTACTTGAGGAGCTTCATTCACTATTGTTTTGTCATCTTTGTTAATTCGTTTGATCTTGGCGTCAATATTATCCATATTGCTGATTGCATGCTGATTCTTACTTGTGAGATCTATTATCTTTTTAGCAACCAACTCGCTGATTGCCTCTGTCTCTGATTCGACTTTTGCTTGGCTTTCTTTGATGGTTAGTTGTTGTTGTTCTGCTTCTTCGTGACATGATTTGATCCGTTTTTCCCTCTTTTCGTTAATGATTTTTATTTCTTCATCCGTCTCCTCGTCGATCGAACGAATCGATCTTTTCTCCTTGTCTTTCACAATCTTTAAATGCTCTTTGAATGCCAACTTAAGTTCATCGTTGACTGATTGAAAATGTTTACTTGCAGAGGTTACAATGGAATCCACTTTAGAGTCAAGCGCTTTCAGTTGTTTCTTCATTTCCTCTATCTCTTGCTGCTTGTCATGCAGTTTCTTCCTCCTCTCCAAGATGACATCCTCGATGTCGTCTAGCTCACACGGTTTATGATCTTTCGTAGCGCATGGATGACAAACAGGGATTTTGTGTTCTTTGCAGTAAAATTTGATTGGCTCCCCATGTTTGTCACATGACCATGTCATGTCATGACCTTTTCTAGTGTGTAGCTTGACCTTATCGTCTCTCTCTCCTGGGAACTTGGACGCCATGATGAGAAGCAAAATGGTTGGAAGTAACCTGCACTGTGAACAATAATACAAATAAAATTAGAGAAATTTTGTTGGGAGAAGAATTAGAGAAGCGGATCAAGAAACAAAAAGAGACAGACAAAGTCATGTACATGGGTAGGAGGAAAATCAAGTAGGAAAGCAGAAACATAGAATAGAATATCAAACATTAAATATGATATTTTCTTTATTATTCTGTCTTCTACTCCTATTGCTCGTCAGTGTGTGTGTATTGGGTTTTTACAGACGTGTATCAATCAGATATGATTATTTACGTCTGGGACCGACCTTTAAACGTCACCATCCGAAAGACGTGACTCAGTTTCGAACCTGCGTCCTCGGCTGAATCAGTTTGTAACTTCCACTTTTTAGCTGGATTACAGGCGCAAGCCACAACGCCTAGTATTCGCTCAGTACATTATGACCGACATATTTATACTTGTTCATGCGAATAATGTCATCATGATGTAACTATTATTCACTTTGATAATGACATTGACATTCGTATTACATCGTGTCCCAATCAAACCCATAAATTCCTTGTTTTAAATTCAACCAACAGAGAAGACAACCATTACTTATCTAGCGTCCTATGGCTATGTGCCTCAAATTTTGTGTAAAAATGATTACAAATATTTCATATTACAAATGCAAGATATTACTCACAAAGAGTTTGCTGTATTATCCCATGGCATCGAGGACTTTTCCAATATCACACTATGATGTTGTATTACAGTGTACAGTTTGAATGAAAGGAAAATGAAAGAGAAAAGGAAGTGGAGTGTTTTTGAAATATCCGGCATTCACCAGCTAAATGGGATATGATCCATCCATTGGAAACATAGTTCAAAGTTCAAAACGTTTTGTTTAAGTATTCATAGTTATGCTTAGCCTTTCATTATCCATATTCCTCTTCTTTTAGATCCACGTCCACCAGGTTCCGATGGCATCAGCCCGATTTCCGAAACAACCGCGATGTCTGGGCCATAGATAATATTTACCTTGGCAACAGTTGCCCTTGGATGTGTTCTGGACATGGACGTTGTGATAGAGGATATTGTGTGTAAGTTCTTTTGGTTTTTTAATAGTTTGGGGAAAATATCATTATTAAAAAATTCAGTACAGCCAGAAAATTTGTTGATAGTAACCTATGAAAAAGCGGACCATTCCCGATACTTGCAAAGGTTTCGTATGCATGTGAAATTATTTCGATCCGCAGTGGTATGTCCTAAAAGAGCTAACAGAATTTATTTAAGAAGTAGTTAGAAAATGTTTGTATTTCAGTGCTCCGTTTCATTTATTCCTCGATCCCTAGAAGTATTTTGAGGTTACTGAAGTGGCTTACCGTAATCACTTTGATGCAGTTTGACATTGCTATCAAATTTTCATATGACACCAGCTCAAGTTATCTCATACTTTACACATGCATTTAGCAGGGTAATGTCTGGTGTGGAAATTATAGTTTTTAAATATCCAATGGATTTTTACTTCAAATTGTACATGTGTTGGTGACGTGAGTAATTATCACAGATTCTCCTCCTCCCATGCATGAATTCAAAATCATTCAGATGTGACCCAGGCTATGCAGGAAGCTACTGTGTACCAAGTATCCCATTACCCAAGCAGCTCAAGGACAGCTTTGATGGACCACCCAGGTTGGACTCGACTCGATGGCTCTACAAGTATGGCAGGATCCGGGGCAGCACCCAATGTGATGGGGTATTGGTGTCTGGCAATGCTGCAATTTTTAATCAGGTATGACTAAGGGAGTGTTTCACAAAGACTATAAGATCGACTTTAAGTTGGACTTAACTATGGCAGGCCGTTCTTATATGCCACTGTCTACTCTCACAATTTACTGGCGTTGGTCTCTCAAGGAACGTCCAAATCATGGTCTCAAATCTACAGAATTTAAAGTCGATCTTAGTCTTTGTGAAACAACCCCCAGGTTTGAAAAAATGTTTGTGGAGAATCGATTGGTTAGAACATATGTTTGCATAATTGGGGAATATTTATCTGAAGTATAAAAACATGTGTTTATCTCTTCTTTGTTAACACAATATAATTTATTTTACCATATGTTTGAGAAGGGTATACAAAGCAGTCATGTTTTCTATCTTAACACACAAATCTTAAGTATACATACTCTTCACATTTGATGTATTAGTCACATACATGTACATGTAACCTTCGTATTCATCAAGGGATGTGCTTCTGAATGCGAAAGAGTAGGAGGGGGATGAAAGATGATAATTACAGGTGGTTATATGATATCTGATTTATATAAGGATGAGTTGTCAAAGAAAAATTATTTACAGCATCATTGCCATTAATGGTTCAGAGATAATGTTTATTGCCCATGTAGATCTTTGTGCATAACATAGTTACTCTTTATCACTGATCCACTTTTTTGTTTTCTGATGTTTCTAGCCCGGTGTGAGGATGTTAGTATCCCAAGATGTGGATGCTACTATGATGGAGTATGTCCAGTTTACGTTCAAGTACAGTTGCTATGACGATCCGTCATCTAGTCGATCATCTGCGGTTCTACTTCAGTATTCCATCAATGGTGGTATTACGTGGGAACTGTTGCAAGAACTTCCCTTTACTCCCCTTCCGGCAACATTCTTCAATATCAAGGTACATGTTTAATTTTTTAGAAACGTTTCCACACTTTTTGATTAGTTTAAACTTGGTGGCAATAATGGCTTACTTTGAAATGTAATGATGATGAACCAGAAGATCATTATAGAACTGTTAAAATTCTCTTTTTTTCAGCAATATTGCATGATGTGATTATGCTGTTTGCAATGTTAATTTTAAGTAACAGTGCTTGCATGAAATTCTCTGTGTGGTAAAAATACCAGTGTCATTGGGTTGTGACTGTATCTTGATTAATCACGACACTTAAAATGAAATTGCTTTAATAGATCATCAAAATTGAGAACATGCTCCCAGTTGTGATTTTTGGATTTTGTGTTCTCTATTCCTGGCTGCTTTGTTCACACTCATGTTTCGAAGAATCTGGTTCTTAGTTCCACTTAAAGAGAAGGTTGAGTTCTGGGAAGAGGTGAAAAATAATTTGTGAGTATTATATACCGGTATGCAAGTGTGGAAGAACATGAGATTAAAAAAGTTCCCTGAAAAGCATGGCTCTTCAAATGTCTTAATATTCTAAATATGGCATGTAACATCGTAAAAAGTGAATTGATCAAGCAATACTTTCAATTCTTTAATTGGATGGATACAGCTTCCAATGTTGTCCAAGACCAACTCGACCCGCTTCAGGTTCTGGCAGCCCCAGCACTCCCTTCAAGGCAATGCATGGGCCCTGGATAACCTCGTCATCGGGGGTAACTTCATGACCCGAGGACCGCTCCAGGAGACCTTTGAACTCGGCCGCATCAATAACAATGACTGGTTGTTCTATCCAGGGGCGACAACACTGACTGAGCACTGCCCTCAACGTCAGAGGCAGGGTGTGTCGTATCTACCACCAAGTCCGTATGAGCTATCAAGAGGGAACGGATTGAGGTAAGATCATCTTTTTATGTAATGTCTTTGACAGCCATTTTGTGTTTGTTTTTATGTCCAAGGTACATGTTTTTCCATTCCCCATGTCTTTAGCCTGCTTCTTTTGGGATCATTTTATCAGAGATGTACCTTAATTGACCTACATGTATATTATCCCTTCAGAAATATTATTCAATTTCTTACAAAAAGCATGTCTGTATTATCTGAATCTTAGCTGAGATCAAATTTATGTAAAAGTACAAGAAGAATAGTATACCAAATGACACAAATTTTAAGGAAAAAATTAAAACTACTAGAAATTTATTCTATGTGTCCATTTTTGTAGTGCTCCAATTCCGATATATACGACTAAGAAATTGGTTTGATCAATTAAAATTGTAGTCTATTAGGTAAAAGATACTTGTGAGTGTGGGTTATTACTGAAATTGAATCATCTATTTTTGAATATATATTTTTTACAGCTATCGAATTGGGAATCATCCATCATTGGTGTTTCCTCACAGTATTGGAGAACACTCTGTGACAACTAGAGATATTGATATCGATGAAAGTAGCATCCTTCAGTTTGAGGTAAGATATTCCATACATGTTTGTTCAAGAGGTTGTTTAGTGTTTACATATCGATCAGGCAATGTTGATATATGAAATACACTTTTAAGTAAACTTACACATGTTGTCTATTTGGAAATATCATCATTTTAAAAGCTTTATGAATAAAGTTGCCTTACATATAAAATACAAATCATAATTTCACACTTATGTCTAGATTTCTCGACATTAAATGTTTGGTGACATCCAAATATAAGTTGATTCCTGTTGATTTGCAGGGCTGCATACAACTCATATTTTGTTATTCAAACATCTAAATTTATTTCATAGATTTTTAAATATTTACATTTTTTTTCTCAGACCTGCTAAGCTCCACCCTAAAAAAAGCTCCAGATCTCATTCATCTTGTGACATCTGTCAATCATCAGTGAGCTAACAAGAGACACTGACATCATTCTTGTGTTCTTCTTTCCCAGATCAATGTGGGATGCACCAATCAGTCGAGTGCTACCCATCCAGTCAGGCTGGAGGTATCCAGAGACTACGGTTCCTCCTGGAGTCTACTCTCACCAGACTGCTTCTCCAACCAGTCTACGTGTCTCTCATGCTCTGAGCATCTCACCACTCCCACAGTCTACTACAGTGGAGAGAATGAGAGATGGGTTCGGTATACCATTCTCCTCTCAAGACTTCATGTTTGTGGGTGAGTAGAGATTTTGTAGAAACATGTTTCTAAAGAACTAAAAAAGATGATTGTGAGATTAGATGTAGGTGATATTAAGCCAATTGACATTTCATATCTTACTACACTAACATATATCCCCTGAGGTGACAGAATATTATATACAGGCTTCCCAAGTCGGGTATCTGCAATTTTAAATAGTAATAATTTGTTTATTTGTAGGCCCTATCTTCCATCGTAATACCACATATTAGACATCTGAGTCAGATTTGAATGAAAACTACCTTTGACCCACATTCTTATCATCAAAATCTTTCTCAAATGCTGTTCAAATCAAACGTGGCAACGTCCTTGAAGTAATGGTGTTATTTTTATGTCTCAGAACTGTACGATTCCGTTGGTACCAGGGCTTCTTCACAGCCCAGGAGAACCCCAAGCAGTGGGCCATAGATGGGATCTACATTGGACCAGGCTGTCCTCTCAACTGTAACGGACATGGTTCCTGCGTCAATGGATTCATGTGCCACTGTGACCCGGGTTACGGAGGACAGATGTGCCACGCCCTACTACCAAACCCTTTCTTCCTCAAGGAATCCTTTCAAAGTAAGGAATATTTCTTTTTGTTTGCTGTGAGCCAAAAGGGTGCTTTCTCTTACAATAGGGACTTTTAGATTGAGCGGACGAGAACACGACGAACGCCGAATGATCATGCATGCCAACGTACTTAACTGCCCATGTTGACTACAATTAGAAATCTTTTAGATTGCACTCGACGATATACATGCATGCAGGAAGTAACAATATGAACATCACGGACAAAGAAAGAGGACAAAATATACAGTTCATTTTTTATTCATTTATTTTATTCATTCATAGCAACCAAGGGTTGGATTGATAATAATACATACATTTTCAACATAATTATGAACATTATTAAATTCAGTACAATGAAATTGATAAATTATGAATAGAAATACATGTAGATCATTAATACAAAAAACATTACAAATCATTCAGGTATATCATATTACAAATAAATCATTACAAGAAAAAGGGGGAAACAACATAAACTTGAATAGACAAGAACAGGGAGCAAGAGAGGGAAAAAGAAAGAAAGTGAAGAAGTGAAAAAACTGCAATGATCAATCAAGTAAACTATACATCCAAATATAAAAATATATAATATAATTATAAAAAAAGTCAACGTATGGGTATAAACTGAAGAATTTTTTTTTTGCATGTACTGAATAATTATTCCAAATTGATCCTCTGAAGCAAGGGTAATATATATATATATAATTAAAAACCAGCTGCATATGTCGGGGTACAAGTTCAAAAGAATATTGAATGGTTGAAAATGTATATTGCACTAATTACCTGCTTATTGTAAATTATACGCACACCAAGGGATAAAACTATTCTTAAATCGGTTTGTTTTACACCTGGGCAGACTCACTTGTTTACTTTTCCTAAGGTTATATCTTGTCTCTCGTTTTGGTGGGAGAAGGTCATTTAGTTTGTGTTCAGGTTTCTGTATTTGGTTGAATAATTGCAAGCACATATTATTTCTACGATCAGCTAGGGGATCAATGTTCAGTACATTTAAAGCATCAGTATAAGACAGGTTGGGGGTGATTATTCTCAGGGCACGTTTTTGTATTGATTCCAATAAATTAGATTGCTCTTTGGTTAGGCCCCCGTGAAAGACTTGACATGCATATTCCAAAACGGACCTTATGCAAGCTTTGTAGTACCTGCACAAATCGTCCTCATTCTACCCTCAACAAAAGAACATCCCTTCACTGCTATTATGTAAAAATGTGGAGAACAGGTGAATATGCATGTGACACCTGTTCTACACATTTTTACATAATAGCATGGAACGGATGTTCCTTTGTCTATACCTGAGGAACTCATGCGCACGCGGTATACTCGATCCTTGAGCATGGAAAGGCGCTATATAAATACCAATATGTATGTATGTATGTACTAGATTTAGGAAAATCAAGGTTGACGCATTCTCGATCGCCGACTGAGACGACGTAACACAAGCGCAGTGCCTTAAAATGACGTCACACGTTGCAGTCAAAGCTGTCGACGTGCAAATCTAAAAGTCCCTACTGAAGTAATGAGGTGTTCACACTTGTACAAGCATTGCTTTTTAGTGGACCCCTCTGTTTCCAACATGTTTTTCTTACATTTGTTTTCAATGCTTATAATTGATTTGTAATGTTTTGTTGGAAACATGAATAAATTGAATTGAAATTGAAAATTGAAGTAATGTCTGGCTCTCTACAGACAGCTTGTCTTCTCTTTATCTTGTATGGGTTCAGCCAATGTTCCTACATGTACATCTAACAACTGAATTATTCATATCCTTGCCAACTGATGTAATTTTTTTAAGCATGGGAAAAATTAATCTGTCCCAATTAACATTTCTTGAGAAAGTGACATAATAAAGTTTACATTCAAAATATACCACAAAGGCCATAATTCAACCAGTCCACCTTTCATTTTTGATTTACAAGAAACACAAACTAACTTATAAGGTGTATCAATAATTAAGTCGTTAACTGTTTATAAAGACATCGTGTGTCGGGAAGTATTTAATATAACACCAATAGATTGCAAGCTTGACATTAATTTGAATCCCATAACTTTGACAATATTATTTAATGCCAATTGATCATTACAATTATAGAATATAGAATTAGATAATCCTTTGAAAAATAGAAAATTTAGTTTCTTACTGATTTTTAACAGTTATATGAACATATTTCAACAGAAAGCTTTCTGTATTCTCTGCCATTTGACTAGATTCTGGATCGTTAGACCGAAAGAAGTTCTCACAGTGGAGTGGAGCAGAGGTTACTCAGAAGTGTGGAACCTTGATCACAGGAAAGAGCCTTCATTTCACTGGATCTGGGAGAAGAATGCTTACAACGGTTGATATGGATCTGACTATGGCAAGGTAAGCATGTTTGGTTTATGTATTTGTGCATTCCTTTATTATTGATATACTATTTTTGCAACTATAAGTTATAGGGGGCTGCGATCTACAAGCCCAGCTTTTCAGCAGTCCCCTCCATGACCAACCTGTTTTATATGCCTGTTGTACACTGTGGACCAATTAAAGTTTCATTGTTTTACTATGTACAATGCAATCCCATGTACTTTATTTATTTTGTTGGAAATGGAAATAAACGAAATGAAATGAAAATGAAATGTCTCTCTCTCTCTCTCTCCCTCTCTTTCTCTCTCTCTTTTTCTTTCTCTCTTTCTCTCTTTTTTTTCTTCTCTCCCTCTCTCTCTCCCCCCCTCTCTCTCCCAGCCCCTCCTCCTCATCTCCCCCTCTCTCTCTCTTGTCTCTTTTCCCTGACTCCCTTATTTGCCCATGTGACAACAATAGTAAGTAACAATTCCAGCTCTTGTGGGCTTGATATGCCAAGTTGATAATTTACTTTTTACGTTTGAAAGGTACTGTACATTTTTCTTCCTGATTGCTTCCTCTGTATCATTTAAGTTTGAACTCTGGCCGAGCCTTTGACCATCTCTGACCTGGTACCTTAATGATCTGTTTTTCTCCAAAGTCATTGAACAGAAAATAAGGAAATAGATATCATCCTTTTTTTTTTTACATGAAACATGCTCAAGAAAGTCACCAGGTTTATATAGATTTCAATTTGATCTCCTCTCACAGTATCATCAGCTTCTACATCCGGCTCGGTTGCTCCCAGCGTCCTCCGTCTCAACTGAATCTACCCATCATCCTCCAGTCCTCGTCCAACGGTGGCATCACATGGGATACCATCCAGGAAATGACCTTTGACCCCCAGAGCAATGACCCTATGTATGTAGCCCTTCAGCTTCCTGCCGGGTCACACTCCAACGCTACCAGGATCAGGTGGTGGCAACCATCCAGGGACGGGGCTTACATGGATGAGTGGGCCATTGATCAGGTTGGTCAGAGCCTCAGTTGTTATGCCTCCACCGCCAAATTTTTGCATTGATATTCTAATATTGTCTGTTATTTTCAGCCATTAGGAAGTTGATTCTTATTTCTTGACAACGAGTCAATGCCCTTTTGGCTCCCAAGCTATATCTTCTGTTATACAGTCAAACCTGTCAATTGCAACCACCCAAGGGAAACACAAAATGTGGTCTTTGTAGACAGGTTCATTTAGTACATGCTTCAATGAGAAACCATTTTCAAGGAAAACAAAAAATGTGGTCTTTGTAGACAGGTGGTCACTAAAGCAGGTTTGACTGTATTATTCATTCCATGTTTCATAATGATGTTAAATGTGTACAGTATCATTCTTGTTCAAAATTTTGATTTACGTCATCGCAAATATTTGGAAGTCTCCCAGGATAGTAATTCTTTGAAAGAAGAATATCATTTTTATACAGTTTGAAATGATTGTGGCAAGGAAAACTGGAGAGCTGCCAGATGTTATTCAAGCACTCAAAGTGTTATATTTGAAAAATACACTATCCACTGATCTACAGGTTTATAGAACTAATTTTTACATTCATTTACAGGAATAAAAGTGTTACAGCATCAGGGGAGTGTTTCACAAAGACTAAAATCGACTTTAAGTTGGACTTAACTATGGCAGGCCGTTCATGCCACTGTTTGCTCTCACCATTGTGATCTTTAGATAATATTTTTCCCTTCAATAATGAATTATCAACAAATATAAATTCTGTAGATTTATGACCATGATTTGTACGCCCCTTGGGAGACCAATGCCAGTAAATTGAGAGCAAACAGTGGCATGAACGGCCTGCCATAGTTAAGTCAAACTTAAAGTCAATCTTAGTCTTTGTGAAACACCCCCCACATCACATATGCCATCACACTGTCCTCTCTCATGAAAAAAGGAGAAATATTGAGTGCTAGAAACAAATATACATGGAAATGAAGCATTATACAGATATATGAATAATTAATATGAACCAATGCAACTGTTCTTGCTGACAGATTTTTATCGGTGGATACATCCATGGTCAGATGGTCCTTGAAGATGATTTCACCACATCGCTTCAGAATGACGATGATCAGAACTTCTCTCTTCATGATCAGAATTGGCTCATCTCACCTGGTAGCACCATGGGCCAGGTAAGAAAATGCTTGAGGATCAATTCTCCTCATCTATTTTACACTGTTAATTGACTGGAAATACCTGTTGGCAAGGAGGGATTAGACCTCCCTGTGTGGTCACTGGCAGGTGGTTATCTCATAAAATCAGCTCTCAATCAACATAAGAGAAAGGGGACTATGGGGGATCAACATGTACCGCTTAGGCATTGTTGACTGTATGGAGGGCACAAGTAGCTACAAGTAGTGCAGTCCTGCTTTAAAACACACCAAGCAAGATTGTCACCTGAAATTGCCCTTTCTGTAGCCATCCCATTAAAGCTGACTTGGTAGAATTGCCAGCAGTGTAGGAGGAAAACAAAAATTGTTTTATGCCTCTTTTTCTATGAACCAAGTTTGTCTTACATACCCTAACAAAACCTTTGAATTTTCTCAATCTGGTAGGCCCAATACAAAGACAACCAGCTGGTTTTCCTAGTAACTAGGTTGAAAATGTTATGCTATTTGCCAAATCCAATGTATACTTGAGATGCTTAGCATATACTATATGTACTAGTATATTTTAAATCTGTATGATATTTTGAGCATTAATATTTTCTTAGTTGAGATGGCTGCTAATTGATACAAATAGTATAATGATTTTTTAGATTTGCCAGCTTTTGAGCAAGGGATTAATAACCAAGTGTTTGTATTACAACTTTCAGGTGTGTGGTGTTGCTCATAATGCTCTACACTTTGCCAGCAATGAACAGATGAGATACACCATCACCTCTGATGTCATGGTAACAGACCACACCTTCCTGCAGTTTGATATCGCTCTGGGGTGCACTGCACAGGAGACATGTTATGGTGAGTTCTACTCATTTTACTTTGAAATTTCCATTCTTCTTACTTTCTTTCATTTCTTTCTCCCTCCATCTTCAAATTTATCCCTTCTCTGTATATACATTGTAAACAAATAACTTATCAAGAAAGGTTTGTTAATGTTATCATGTTCTTGGTTTCATATCGCAGGTATTATACTTACTCATATTTCTTTTTTTCAGTCTCTTCATCTGGTTTATATATGAATTACTATCATTTTCTTTGCGTTCCTCTGGTCCTTTCTTTGTTTGTTTTTCCCACTAATTTTTGAATGTGCCCCAAAACTTTATTATCTGTTCTCTTCTGTCCATGTTTCACACTGTGCATATTCCTTCAAACATGGTGTTGGAAATTTTCATATTTCTTTGCTTTCTTCTGCCAGAGACAAATCTGATTTTAGTTTCTAGACATACCAGGGTTGGCTTTATTGGAATCACCTCATCAAATAAATCAATTTTGTTGATCAACAAAAAAAAAAAAATCATTTAATTTGTCCAACCCTTGTCATATACTTGTCTCAAAGATTGAGCCATGCATGTCTAAGTACAAGCTTGTCTCAAGCAAAACTGCGGACGGCTCACTAAATTGGGACATACCCATTATAGGAAGGCTTCTCGAGTAAGCATAACTCATCTTCTTTCATCATTTGTTTATAGGTATACTCCTGGAATACTCCCTTGATATGGGTAAGACCTGGGACCCCCTCCTCACTGAGTGCTTCCCATCTCAAGTTGAATGCACCAGCTATCATATGAGGAGTGTTTATCTGGCTGACATCTACTATGGATGGAACAGAGTGACACTGCCTCTTCCACACTACACAAGGTAATAAGTTGTAACACTGAAAAAGTGACAATATCTATCTTCAAACACCTTTAAGATTTCAAATTTAAACAACAACCAAGCAGCAGTTTCACTTATTGTATTACACATGCTCTGTGACATGTTAAATTCATCCATGGGCGCGATGCTACACCAAACTCTAAACCACACCCTCAACCTTACACTATATCTTTTACAAAAGGGTGCTTAACTTTAAAGCTTTCCAGTAGTTTGACCCTTTGTTCCAATGATCTCTAATTTTGAATCACTCATCCTTGATAATTTATACAATGTTATTAAAGAACACATTTTCACGGCACCCTCATGTCAAATGAAAAAAGTAGATTTGTTTATATAAACAATGAACTTTTATGTTGATATGCATACCTTTTATTTCTTCTTTTGTAATAAAAGTTAATGAAATATCTACTAACCTGAATATCTGTTTAGATTATTGTATTGTTTTCAGATATGCATACCTTTTATGTCTTCTTTTGATGATCAAAGTAAATGAAATATCTACTAACCTGAATATCTGTTTAGATTATTGTATTGTTTTCAGATATGCATACCTTTTATGTCTTCTTTTGTAATAAAAGTAAATGAAATATCTACTAACCTGAATATCTGTTTAGATTATTGTATTTTTTTCAGATATGCATACCTTTTATGTCTTCTTTTGAAGATCAAAGTAAATGAAATATCTACTAACCTGAATATCTGTTTAGATTATTGTATTGTTTTCAGATATGTATACCTTTTATGTCTTCTTTTGTAATAAAAGTTAATGAAATGTCTACTTACCTGAATATCTGTTTTGATTGTTGTATTGTTTTCAGATATGCATACCTTTTATGTCTTCTTTTGATGATCAAAGTAAATGAAATATCTACCTGAATATCTGTTTAGATTATTGTATTGTTTTCAGATATGTATACCTTTTATGTCTTCTTTTGATGATCAAAGTAAATGAAATATCTACTTACCTGAATATCTGTTTTGATTGTTGTATTGTTTTCAGATATATGCATACCTTTTATGTCTTCTTTTAATGTTTGAAGCAAAAGAATCGTCTACTAACCTGAATATCTGTTTTGATTGTTGTATTGTTTTCAGATCCAAGAGTACCCGTTTCCGTTGGAGCCAGCCACCTCGCTTTGACCCGGGTCACGAGTGGGCTCTGAGCAATGTTTACATTGGAGCAGAGTGCAGTGACATGTGCCATGGTCATGGGCAATGCAGCTCTGGAATATGCATGTAAGAAATAAACTTCTTATTCTCCTCGAGTTGCTATTAAAGTAATGTACAGTATTTCTTATCAGTTGACCCTTTGACTAACATAGATAGTTATATATGCTGAAAGTGAGATATTGAATCCAGTATAGGCTTAGACTTGGAAGAAGTAGCCCTCCTAGTATATAAGACAGGCTTGTGAATTGTAAAATGTGATAGCCTGGAGTATACTTTGTGGTAAGATGAACAATGAAAATGTAATCAGACACCAAAGCTAGTGTCTTAAAATTAATTTTGATACAATTTCATGAATTGTAGCACCGCAAGTGTTACAGCAGTAGTTGGATCATGCTGTGAAGCTTAGTCTGTCTTCTGTTGCTTATGTGTTTGAGAGGAATGAACTTCCATCAACCTTTCCAAGTTTGCTGAAAAAGTGAATAAATTTCCTTATTAAATACCATATACCTTATCTTCATAATATCTGAATATGGTATTTATGCAGTCAACATAGAATTAATACAGACATTCTTATTAGCAGCTGAATTTACTGATATAAAGTGGAGATTAACTGTTTTTCTCCTTAAAGATGTGATCAGGGATGGACTGGTCCCTCCTGCCAGCGACCCTCTGCACGTCTTCCTCAATCTCTACGTGACACATTCTCTGATCAGCCTGTTAGTGGACAGGGTCATTGGTCAAAGGTCGTTGGTGCAAGAGCATCAACATCCTGTGGACCAGTGGCTTCTGGGACTTATCTTCATTTCACAAAGGTAGGACAGAGGAGCCAGGGAACAGGGGCCTGTTTCATAAAACTTTCTTTCTATAACAAGTGCTTAATTTCTAAGATAAATTTGCTCTCGGCCAATCAGATGCCTTGATTTCAGTAGCTTATAACAGTAGCTTGTAAGTTGTTATTGATATCAAGTTTTATGAAACAGGGAACAAATGACGTACTGTCAGTAAAGAAGAAGACATATATGATGTACATGTATATTCCTCTATCCTGACTTATTGGAGGTTTTATACTCATCTGATTTTTTAAAGAATTTTATTTTACTGTAATAAATCCTTGTTTGTCTTAGTTATCAAATCCTCCTAAAATGTGTAAGCTTTTTGAGAATGTGTTTAGCCTAAGAGTGGCTACAGTTTCTTGTAGAAACAGATAGAGATACCATCATTGTGAAGTTTGAAACTCTGCATTTTTAATGACAATTGTTCAAAGACATGGTCATGCTGAAGTTTCAAGTTTCAAGTTTAATATTCCACATTTTACAGAAAATATACCGGTATACATACATATAAAATAACAAATTATACATTACAATTATTATAAATAAGCACATGTCAATGATTCTCAATTCATATAATAGATAAAGTAGGATGTGAGGAACCTATTAAAAAGCAGGGCTTGTATAATATAGGTTCCTGGAAGAAAAAAAGTAGTGTAGATACAAAAAACAGTAGCAGTAGAGAAACACGTAATTAAGAGGGGAGAATTTAAAACACAATTAAATAAGGACATTTTTATACAAAATAATAATGCGTAAAGAGCTGTGATGGATGCATTTTGCCTTGGTATGTTGCAACATTTGTAGTTGACTGATTGATTAATATGCTAATAGATTGAATGCTTCTATCTCATTGATAAAATTATCTTTACACTACATGTGGAAGGCCCTTTTTTTCTAGTGTCAACGACTCTTAAGAAGAACGAAGACTAAATTTGACTGATTTAGACTAGAATCGTGACTTTCGTTAACGAAAGAAAGAAGAGCTGGCCATAATGTTGTTGGAAAAACTATACGATTGATCATCTTTCTGTTTCGTGTCCAAACCAGTCCTGCAGCAGACAGCTGGTGACCTCGGACTTTGACTTGACCCATGCAGACTACGTCCAGTTCTACTACCGCTTTGGTTGCCTGAATCCCCCTCAGCATCGGGATGAAGGAGTCCTCCTGGAGTACTCATTAGATGGGGGCATAACATGGACCCTCCTCTTGGAGTTATACTACCACCAGAACGGCAGAGAAATGTAAGACTTTTGTAATTCTATAAGTGTATCGCTTGTCTCATGAAATCCCTTAAGACACGGTTGTGCTTGCTGAGGCATGGCATATTCATTAACGCTCAATACATATTTTTGGGGGATTGGTCATTAATAATAATAATATGTCTTTTTTACCCAGGGTAGCCTCATCAGTATTCATACTGTTCTCCCTGAGGGCCCTGCGATCATATTATTAACTCGGTCATCGGATTCAGGCTTATCCGCACACAATGTATGCACATTCTTTACTCCCTGGGGAGCATTCCAGCCATAAGGCGTCATTCGCTATTGATCTTGAATTATCTTAGGATATAATAGCAGATTTCTTTTTCTAAGTAGCAGAGAGTGATTGAGTAATATGCTTTAATAATGGAATCATGAAATATTTCTTTGAGATATAGACCCCCTAAAGGAAAATGCTGAGATAAATCTACTTTTGATATTAAAGCAAGTGTTATCAAATTCTTTCAAGCTGTTAACATGATTGTGCTTTTCACCACAGATTCGTGTCACTAGCCCTCCCTGCTGAAGCACGCCACAACGGCACCCGTCTGAAATGGTGGCAGCCATCTCACTCAGGCCCTGACACTGCTGACTGGGCCATCGACAATGTCTTCATAGGGGGATCAGCTACCCTACCTCACCTCCTGAGGGACTCTTTCTCGACGGAAAACATCCAGGACCACTGGCTCTTCTCAGATAACGCAGCTTTAGGAGAGTTCTGTACCCGCAATGCTGGGCTTGGTGATACAGGGATGCAGCCTACAAGGGATGGGGTATCATGGATTGGAGGAATCGATGCAATCGAGAGTTCATCCTTGACGACCCATGACATGATACTAAAGAAAGGAGATGTACTAGAGTTCAAGGTACTATGTCTGCTGTATCTACTGACCAAATTTATCTTTAAAATATGTTAATTATTAATAATAATAATAATAATAGCCTAATAGTCCACTCCAAATTTTATTAAACCGAAACGGAAATTCTTTTTTGCCCAATTGATCGTGAGCCCGGCAGATCGACATTGCTCTATCCCTTATTGTTGAACGCCAAACAAGGTAGCAACAACTCCTATCTTTTAATGTCTTTTGGTATGACGCAGCCAGGGTTCGAACTCATGACTTTCCGGTTGTGAGGCGGACGCTCTACTGACTGAGCCAACACTCCGGTTTAGAAGTAGTATTGTATTTTTGTATGTCACAAATGATTGTGTTGCAATTTGGACAATATGGATTTGTGTTGCACTTAAAGTTATCTGTACACTCCTGAAGGGTCATTGTAATTCAAATCGCTTTGAGTGGAGTTTCTTGCATTTTGTATCACAAACAGCCTAATACAATTCTCTAAGCTGTATTTCTTTGTTCTATGTGTATATTCATACAGGTGAATATTTGTTATAGAACTTTCTGGACCACAATTCATTTTGTTGTTTTATGCACCCATCATTTACAGAACAAGCTAGACATACTTGTTTGTCAACCGTATTCTAAACTTATCCCATCCTTTTCTTATTTTCTAAGGGGTCATCATCCAGACCTCGCACTTGGTCCTCACACCCACACCGCTACGGTGACAGGGCCTTCTCAGTCTGAGTCCCCACTCTTTGGAATACTCTCCCTGCCCATATCCAGGACTCGTCCACCATTGGCATTTTCAAAAAGAATCTAAAAACTCATCTATTCCAAAAACAACCCAAATAACTATAAAATAAGTTTGAATTAGTATTACAATGCCTACATTATGTCGTTTTAACTGTTGCTATTATTAATATAATGATAAAATATGTTAACTTTCCAAGGAATTTACATGTTATGTTAATTTCTTTAGTAATGTTAGTAATGTTTAATCTTCTTGGTAATTTAAGTAATGTTATTTTTTTTTAAAGTTATTGCTAGTAATATGTTGTTTTCTTGGTAATTTAAGTAATGTTAATTCTATTAGTGAATTTGATTTTTCTTGAAGTAATCTTGATTTGTGTACAGCGCTATATAAATTTTTTGTATTATAATTATTATGCAGATTAGCATCGGTTGTAACTCATCTTGGGATAGTCCAATCCAGCCTATCCAGTTAGTCTACTCCGTTGACCATGGATTGACCTGGTCACTGGTCACTCAATCGTGTTTGCCCTCTGACCCGAGCTGCGGAGGTGATGTGACCCTTCCCAGCGTCCTCTTTCTGTTCAATGGATGGAGGAGGCTGGTCACACCCCTCACAGACAAGATGACAGGAAGGTAAGAAAACTATTTTATAGTCTTTATACTCTTGATGAATCAAATACTGATTGATTGATTGATTCAAATTTATTCCATTTCATAAATATCAATTGTTTGCACAATAAAGAACATAGTTGACAAAGTAAGTTCAAAATTATGAAATGAAACAGGAACCTACTGGAAAGCATACATGTAGCTTGTTTTTTAAATGGATGTACATGTAAGCGAAAAAATCAGGGAATGTCTTTGAAAGCTTGATATTTTCCTTAGCTTTGTGAAAGCTACACCTGCTGTATGTGATGCAATTTTTTATCAAAATATAAATGCTTGAGTGCCGGGGGGAGAAGAACCCAATATGGCTGTATAAAATCTTGCTTTTTGTGTTTTCTTCAGGTGTATATGAAGGTATACAAATCCAATCTGCCAGGTTTGATATACTGTTTAATATGTTTTATACATATGCTTTGGTATCACGAATTGGCATTCCTTACTTTCCCCATAGCGACCTCAAAATAAGTCATTTAAATTTTTGTAGGTGTATATGTGGACAATAATTTGTATAATATGATTTTTATCCATCTTCTCTTCACCGTCACATTTCTCTCCATTTTTTCTTTCTCCCCATCAGACCGATACGATTCCGATGGTACCAGGGGGCTACTTCCGCTCCCCACCCCGCATACCAGCAATGGGCTCTAGATGATATCAGGATAGGACCGCCCTGTACTCTCATGTGTAGTGGGCATGGATCATGTGACTATCCAACATGTGTTTGCGATCCTGGTTTCCATGGTGATTCATGTGAGAGGAGCTCCGGATTACCGGTAATGATATGATATCAACCTACTTGCATCTCCTTATTGAATTATTTGACACTTTTAGGCAAGGAAGGAAATTCATGAGTCATTTTAAGTTAGAATTAGTGACTTTTCAGTATTATCATCATCAGGAGCTAAGTTTTCTACGTTCATTCAATCAATAATAATAATAATAATATTGGATTCTTATATAGAGCACGTATCGACATTGCAAGGTCCTCAAGGCGCTCTGTATGTGTACTCGGAAAGCTTGACATCAAGTGATAACCTTTAATATTTGAAAACAGAATAAGAACAAAAAGGGAATGTAATTGGAAAATAAATGGTAAAACAATCAATCAATTTTTTTATTGTATATGGTGTAACAAGAGGTATATCAAGTTCTAGCCAGCTGAGGCAGGCACAAATCAGCATTTAAAATCTTTCTTCTGGTGCATGCCTGCCATGGCTATCAAGATCAGATCGGGAAAAGCGAATTGTTACTGGCTAGATATTCTAATTCGACAATTTGTTTTTTGCTAAGATGCCTTATTTGTGGAGTAATAGGGTGCCTTATTGAAATTTATTCTTTGCTATAGTCCGTTAATATGAGCGGGATTGAATCTGCTACCACTGGACAACACTTTTACTATAAATCAATAAATCCATGTCCTTTTCTTTTACTTTCAGACTTTCCTGAAGGAGGAGGTTGTTGGCAGTAAGATGTCTCCTAGCAACTGGCCTCTCATCCAGGGTGGGGTCATCACCAAGGGGAGCAGTGAGAGGACATGTGGGGTCATAAGAGAGGCAAGGTCGGTGTACTTCAGCGGGAGTGGTGCAAGGCTAGCTATGACCACATCACTAGATATCAGAGATGCAAGGTACATACATATCCCCTTGGTGAAAAAACAAGAGCAATCGGATATCACTATTTTATGTGGTCATGTTCTTTCAAAGTGTTTGTGTGTAGTACGGCATCTAACGTGGGAATACAGCTGACTTTGGAGCATTCATCATAGACTTCTGGGCTCTCTTGCATAAAGAGTTGCATTTAAACGCAACTCTGAAAATCAAACGCAAGTCCTAAAAGTCAAAAGTAATTTTGCGTTTGATTGCATAAAGAGCAACTTCCAAGCGCAACTTTATGATAGATAAATTATGACCAAATGCAAACTTGCATTTGATTGATCAATCGCAACTCTCTTTATGCAATGCGCAGTTGTGTTTGATTGCAAGATGCGTACGATAGTTCAATCGCAACTTGACTTTCAGGCAAGATGGCCCAGATCAATATATAGTGTTGTCAATAGATGAAGAATGATTATAAATATGATATGTGGTTACAAGAAGTTGTTCGAAATACGCCAATTCTGTTTCAAATCTCCATCGTACCTTTCAATTGCCTATAGATTCATCCAGTTCTACATTGTAATTGGAAGCCAGAGTAATGCAGAGCATTGTTTGACAGCGACAAGTCGACTTGAGTCTGTCATCCTTCAGTACTCCACCGATGGAGGTGAGTACAGGTCTGCTAAATGCTTGGGGGGGGGGGGTGTTTCACCAAGTTGAACTTAACTCTAAGGTGGACTTAAAAGTTATGGAGAGCCATCTGTAGCCTTAAAATATAATATATTCAAAAGCTAAAATTCAAGTATTTTTGACTTTTTATAAAATCCACACCAAGAACATGAAATCTCCTCGACAATAGAAAATATGAAAGATTTGAATCAACATTTTATGCTTTTTAAAATAACTTTTACACAAAATTTTCATAGAAGTTAACAGCTTTCCATACTTTGAAAGACCAACTTAGAGGAAAGTTCAACTTAGGATCTTTGTGAAACACCCCCTGGTGTTGTTGATGTTTCATTACTGTTGGGTGTAGGGAGAGACTGAGAGGGCTGGGAATTCAATTAAAGCCTACAGAAAATTCCTAACCATGGTATCTCTGTCCATTTAAAACATTAAAGGTATATACCAGTTTTGGAAACGCCCCCCCCCCCCCTCTCGAGAAATGAAATGGAATCTCTTATTACCAATCATGTGAAAGAATATGTTTTGACTAATACGTGGTGATACAAATTTTGCCGGGAAATTGCCTAGCAATTGATATATTTGGTACATTATCATAGCGATCTGGCCTGGATAGATATCGCGAATGCACTTCAACATTGAACATTTGGCCATATATTTCTGCTTTTTTGCAAATTTAGGTTGAAGTATTGCCATCTAAACCTCTGAAGGCAATATCTAAACAATATTGAATGGATATTTTGCACCCAAAACCCTTGAACCGCATTGTTACCACTACCGGTCTTTACCTTTAATATGAAACAAACAAAAGATGAAAGTAGTTTGAGTGGCCCTGTAACTAAGTGATTGTCCCGTTTACCTTTAAGATAGGACAGTTAAATGTACATTAAATTCTTTTCCTTCACATATATTGTTATAATGTATATCCTGCATCTTGCCACACATGTTATGTATAGAATTAGGATGTTTAGAGTTTAATATATTGCTTTTTTGTCACTTTTAGGAATCAGCTGGACCTTGCTCAAAGAATTGTATTATCAGCAGTACCAAACACCCAAACTGGAATATATATCCCTTCCCATTAAGGCCAGGACACATGCTACTCTGTTCAGATGGTGGCAACATCTTGCTCAGGCTCAATGGGCTCTTGATAATATTTTTATAGGTAAGTGTTGTTCACAGTGATAGTGGTTCAATTCTAATATTCCTCATCGTCATGTTCACTAGCTTTCATTAGCTTTATCATCGTCATCAGCATGCAGCAGTATCATTCTCATTACCATTATCATCTTCTTTTTTTACCTTCACCATTTACCATCTGGAGCACCAGCGGCACCATCATTATCATCATCGTCATCATCATCATCATCATCACAATCGTCATCATTTTCCTGTTATTTGGAACTCTATTCCTCCTGAAATATCCTCATGCAAGTCTTTAACATTATTTAAAAGAAACTTGAAGCAGCATCTTTTATCTAAATATCATTAATTCTTGTTCCAATATTCATATTATACAACATTACCTATAACTGTTTTCAAACTTTTGATTTTGTAATGATAATTTCCATTTGTATTACCTGCCATGAACGATGTCCCTGTCATGTTTTGTCATGTATGTTTCTTTTTTAGTTTTGTTTGTAACAGTATATGTAAAATGTCTTAACTACTGTTTGGGGAACTATGCCTCCACAAGGCCATTTGGCCGTATTTTTTAGTCGCCCATTTTCATTTTCTTACATATTGCAAATGCTTATCATTGTATATATCTTTGTTTTGTTTTTTAATTGAAAATGGAAATGAATAAAACAAATTGAATTGAATGAATTGAACATTAGTTGGCTATCCTTTGGTCAAGTTTAATGTGTTTTTTCATCACAATCAGGTGGCTCTGAGATCAACCCAAGTACATTATCAGAATCATTCGAGCACGGACACCAGCAAAGCATGATTTGGGAGTTTTACCCTTACGGACAGAGGCAGCAAGAGGTTTGTCATCAGCGCACTACCGCCCTCTTCTGGGCAAACGAGAGGAATGGCGCTTTCGACAGTGCAGCCATCACTCGACAGCTCATAGTGGACAAGAATTACATGATACAATTTAAGGTAAGTACAGAAATTGATATTGTTCTGACTTAATGCTCTCATTTATAGCGCACGATAATTGTCTGTAGTCAAGCAGATGAGGAAGAAAGAAAAAATCCTGACTATTTTTGATTTTTGCACATGTCTCCTTATTCTTTTCTTTTTTCAACTTTTCAACTAGAAATATTTAAATTAAAGGCATGCTGAATTAGAAGATTACTTATTGCAAAAAGAAATATTAGCATATGTTTGCATGAGATGCTCCTACACCCTTTGTAAATTATATTTTAGTTCTCCCTTGATACGAGATGTAGATATATCTTAGATATATAATTTTGGAACTGTCATTTTCTTTTATCTGATTATTTTGCCCCCAAGTTGATTTCACAGTTTAATATTTGACCGACTATCATTCATTTATTTTTCTTCAATCCAGATCGTAGTTGGATGTCAGAGCACCCCATCGTGCAACTTGGATTATCCTATCATCCTAGAGTACACTGCTGATCCTCACCAAGACCATTGGACGGTCCTCAAACCAGCCTGTCTCCCTGGAGACGAAGAGGATGTGAGATGCGATCCGTTTGGTTACCATGACAGCAGCTCTTACTCAGAGAATGGGTATCATCAGTGGCAGACTGTCACAATGGAGCTTCCAAGAGATACAGTGTCTGGGTGAGTGGGTTTACTGATGATTTCCCTGTGCCTCCCTATAGCAGAGCTACCAAGTGTCACGCATTAGGCGTGACGTCACGCATTTGGAGGGTCTGAAAACGGCTCTCACGCACGGCGCGCACGCTAGATTAAAAAAAAAGCCATACCTATACGTGTGTTATACCCTCGCGCGCCGAAAAATGAAAATGTCACGCATTGCCGATCTTTTACCTTGGCGTCTCTGCTATAGCTGTTCCTTTGTAAGCTCTAAACATAGTTTTGCGACCAAGAGAAGGTCTCCTTGGTCAGAGAAAACCAAGGGTGGAGTGCAGCTAGGGTACCCATAAAGGCATAGTGTACTGATTAAGTGCTGCATGTACTATATGCCTCTTTGATCAAAACTTATTTAGAGCCTGCATGTTGACCACCCCATTCCTCTATTCCCATTACCGGTACTCATTTTCACCCCTTCATCTCCAGCTCCACACAGTTCCGTTGGATCCAGCAAGATGCCTCTAGTCTGGCGCCCTCATGGGCTGTGGATGATGTGTACATTGGAGAGAAGTGTCCAAACATGTGCAGCGGACATGGGCAGTGCGTAGAGGGCCCATCGTGCGTATGTGATCAAGGCTATGAAGGTCAGTGACAGACTTAACAGATGGTTTGAAAATCTCTAGTTTTTTAAATATTGAGTTCTCAGATAGTATTATTTTAGTTCCATATCAAAGTTTCTAATCTCTTTTTCTCCTTTTTCGTAATTTTATCAATCAGTAAAAGTCACTTTATTATAAAAATCTATTGGATTGTACACAATAGAATCTTAGTCTATCCAATCATGGTAAGTGCATCCCCCAAATTGAATCTATTATCCAGGGGGGCATTTCACAGAACTTGTCATCACTGAGTGACAAATTACAGTTTTTGTTATAAGCTACTGAAATCCTTGCTTCTGATTGGTTATCAGCAGATATATCACTGATTTTTGTCATTTGTCATTGAAAAGAGGCTTTGTGAAATGGGTCCCAGGATGATACCCCAGTCATACTGACAATATAGACAATTCAGATCGTGATGGATCAAACAGAAAATTACTTTACACCAGTTACTCCGATTACACAAAATGGCAAGGATTGGTTTAAAGCCTGTATGGAGTTGGTTTGGTAGTATGACTGAGATATTAGACGTTTGTTTTGTCATTGACATCATTCAAGACAGTATTGGTCATTCAAGTCTAATTGGAATCCATTTCTAGCTAACCCCCAATATATGCTCTGATGATAGACACCTGCACGCTCATCATATAGAAAAAAAAATGGTAGTTAATATCACTAAAGCTGATTTTGAATTCTTGTAAAAGATTTGCGATGCTCACTTTTCTGTATATTCTCTATTTTTAGGAGACTCGTGTACCCCGTCCTTGCCACTACCAACATACTTCCGCTACGGCGTTGATCGTGGTCTCATCCCATCCATGGACCCTTGGAGTAAGGTCAACGGAGGGGGCGAAGGTCACGGGTGCGGTCCTCTGACACCCCATGCTCATGGCATGGCCCTGTATTTCAGTGGGTGTGGTCTCAGACAGACAGTGACAGTAGAGCTGGATACAAGACTCATTGTGTAAGAAGATATATGTTTTGTTTTGTTTATAGAATAACCAAACATAATCGGATGGATATAAAATACAGTTTCCCTTTCATGTATCACCCAGGCTTAATTTCTTCATACCTATTACTTGGGGAAAATAGGCTATTAAGTGGTTACCAAGTGATTGAATGTATTTATACTTTAACGAAATGGGAATAGATTCTGAGTTTTACCTATCCCAGCATATTAAAGTGAAATATAATCAGATAATGCAGATTGCAGAATGTGCTCTTTCAAAATACCTTTTAAAATCGAAAATTTCATGGGATTTTTCTTCCTGCCTACATTGTTATGGCATACCTGTTTCATAAAAATGTATCATCCACTCCCAATATCGAAATATAATTTGTAAACATTGTATTGTTTAAATGTGTACAATACTTTCTCTTCCCTGTATTACTTCATATTCCCTCTCTCTTCGCTCCAGGGAGATTGGCTTTGTGTTGCAGATCGGCAGCCGAGATCCCAACAACACCGCCTGCCACATCAACTACGCCTCCCCCACCATCAGGAGCAAAGCCGTCCTCCTCCAGTACACCCTTGACAACGGCATCCACTGGTATCTGATACAGAGCCACGCCCCTGGAGACTACAGCGAACCCACCAGGGTGTTGTATGACCTACCCCGGGAGGCTAGGGGGCTTGGAGTCCGGTTCAGGTGGTGGCAGCCAAGACATGACGGGGTGAATCAAGATCAGTGGGCACTGGATAATGTAGACCTTGTGAGGTAAGCTCGTTCACACGATGAGAATCTTTGATGTTTCCCACCCCCTGCCACAATTTTTTAAAGAGAAATATGTCCCTTATTCTTGATTCATTAAATATTCTATTGAGAAAACCTCTAATAATTAGGTAGTCATCTTTTATTCCGACTGTTTGACATGTATTAATACTAGGCATTAAACAAATTGAAATGTTTAAATACTCATGTACATTTTAATCAGGTTTTAATATTTTTATCCGATTAAATGAAGGATGGGTTTGAAATTTTAGGGTTTACAATAAGCCTGTCACTTTTTTTTTTTTTTTTTTTGGGGGGGGGGGGGGTCTCTTTTTGTATGATTTCTAACTGATTTAAGTGTTATTGTTGTTTTTTCTGCTCAGTTTCAGCAGAAAGAAGCGTTCCTCACCAGCTGAAACCCTGAAGGTGTAATGTCTTCCATCAAGTTCTAACAAAAACATCGGATCAGTAAAGTAACGTCAGATGCCAGCTTTATGCTTAAGGTGCTCTCGTACAAAATGCTCTCAGAATTAACAGAAATGTAGATAAATGTAAATGTAAATATAAGAATATAGAAATACATGTAGAATCTCTTTCCGTGAGTTGTTTCAGTGAGATTTTTTTTATTATACCAAGTTTACACCTTTGAGAAATAAACCAAGCATTCCAAGTGACTTTATTGGACCTCCACATATTAAGTATTATTTCAACTCGGTCATATATGTGATGTGCTTAGGACCAACATATTTGTATGGATAACTTCCATGAATTTTTACTCATGTACAACTGACAGCTTACTGGTATGTTATTTATTACATTTGTTTTTTTACCTTTAATACATGTAGTGAATTTTTAAAAACTTTTGTACATTTTTTATCCAAATATGGCTCATTATATTGTATTTTCAATACAACAAGTGTCTTAAACAAAATATAGCTGTACTTTTAAGCATTAAAAGATGTTTTTAATGAATTGATGAAATGGTCCAAGACTAGAAGCATCAGAGTTACTTGGAATGGTGTCTTATTAATTGTAAGTGCATTTTGATGGGCTTGTATTTGATAGCCACATTTTGATTAAAAAGAAAAAATGTATGAAAAGATGAATGGATTATGTGACATGTGAACATACATGTATGTGGATATTCAAGTATTGAGCCCTTGCACATCGGCATGACTGATTTGAGCTAATCTTGAGCTCTATGGTATGGGAATCGTATTTTGAGAGATAATTGCTCTGATCCTGCAGTAGATTGGTTGTCTGAACCAGTGAAACAAAAACAAAGGCACAACTTACTGGGCATCACCTTCGATAAAAACCACAACTCCCATTTGCACGTAATGACCTGTGTTTAATAAGCACATGGTGCCTGGCCTAACTTAATTACCTGGATTTCCTTATCTTTTTATGCTCATTTCTCGGCAACTATACATTTTCTACCAAAATTGTTTGGCACATGTTATGTATTTGTAATCTTCACCATTTAGTGCAAGTTTCGTCAGATTTTGTGAGAATTTTTTAAATTTTATAAACCGGTACCAGAACTCAAGTTTATCTTTATTGGTGCTACACAATGGGTTCCCTTCTCATCGCTCTTCTTTTGTTGTCGTAATGTGGTGCATTCCCAATTAACTAATTACCTCATATGCCTACTATAATATTTATTGGGTAGTATGAAAGGTATAGAACCATTTACTGTTTTCACACAACCATTGTCATAGTTTAATTAATTTTGAAGATGTTGCTTTACTGGTAATAAAGATGCGTTATTGTGATCCTGTTGAGTGGATCTCTATTGCCTTTTATTGATGCCTATCTAATCTGCGGCAAACATTATCCTTTGCTATTGATCTCATCATCCTATGTGTGATAATCTGTCTTGGAAAAAAAGATTTGATAATCACAGATTAACTTGAGCAACTGTTTATACTCAATGTTGTAAGATCTGTGAGAATTGCTATGCTACCATAGTATTGATATAGAATGTCGAGTACATTTTTGTTGTATACATATCAAGGGTTCAGTGACACAGACGTAACTCCATATTTTGCCAAAATGAGCATTTGATATCAAAATGTTCAGAAATATGTGGACTTTCCAGGAAACACAAAGACCCCAGTCAACCCAACACCCCATTGAAGTCGATGGCTAGTGAAACATAGACTTAACTCCTTAAGGCCCAAGTGCTCAGTGACACATGAACCCCTTTTTCTCAAAATGGAGTCACGTCTTTGTGTCACTATGACCCCTCGATATGTTCCATGTAGCTTTGTGGGCAGTGAGAAATGAATTCTTGTATTTCTGCAAGTTGAAGACAGTTTACAGTGAAGCAAGTTAATCCTGAAGATGTCCACAGGAAAGATGACTCGGTTAAAAAATATAAATGTTTATAAACACGTCTTTGAAAATAAAAGGATTGAAAATCCATTTCATACCAATTTTCTGCTGATATACTATTTCTGTTTGATTTTAAGATGGATTTTGTGTATATTCTGGGGTTTTCATCCCTTCGTTGAAAGTCTGTAAACTTCATACTGTTGCATATATCACATTAATACAGCATGTACACAACAAATAAAAAGACTTGCAACCTTTTTTAGTACATATACATGTTGTACCAGTCATTTATTTTCAACTGATCATTTTAATACACGAGTGATGTGATTGCTACAGTCTAAGAGTGTGAGTGTGCCTTACCGACTAAAAGAGTATAAATAATTTTACAATGTCACACAAAGCCAAGGTATAATTAAGCAAATTCTAAAATATTAAAAGCTTGAGCAAATCATATCCTACTGCTTACAAAAAAGGAATTAATGACCACTTTACAAGCAGTTTAACAAATGGCTATAGAGCTTTGGTGCATGTTAGTAATGCCCATTTGATGGCAGGGTACAATTTTTCAAACGGTGCCCATTTTTTTTAGATATAATTTGTGAAGAAAAGAAAAGACCACCAAAAAAAAATTAGACAAAACCTAGTCGATCACTAGTTATAATAAGGAAAGTGGAAAAATTTTCCTTAATTTCATGTCTCCAGGCCCCTGTTAAATAACATTTATTAAAGAATGAATAGCAGCTCCTACAATTCGGTTACAAATTTGCTGGCATAATCGACCAAATATAATGACTCCAATATCGATGATTGTAAGTTGGCATAAAGGCAGCCCATGCCTGCCTATATGGAACAGTATTGATCTTTCAAACATACATTTTGCCTTTGTATAACAGCAATAAAATGAGAGTTGAAGGTGGGAGTATTTAATCTGTTTCATAAATATATTTTCACATACCAGTAAATAACGTCAAGTATGATTAAGTCATACATGAGAACTTTTCATGCATCAAGAAATCATTTGCTTTTTAAAACAATGGTTAGTTTTAAATTTCGGGTAGGCAAGTGTTGCTGTGCTTTACATTCATGCATATCACTTTTTGGAGCTAAACTGATTTTTCTTTGTGATTAAATCGCAAGCAAGCAAGTTCTATGCAAATTTCCAAAGATAAATGCAGTGAATCCGTATAAATACACCAACAGAAAGTATTTTCCTTGGTAATATTGTAGTGCAGCTAAATATAATAACTGTGGTCATCTATTTACTTCTGGTCAATATACCTACATGTAACCACAAATCATCACACTGGAGTATTCAATAATATGCTTTCTATAGTAGGAAGAACCATACTCTTGTTTTTTTTCCTTCTAAGCATTGGTTAGGGTTCAGGTTTTATATATGCATCATAACAAATAAAGATTATTAAACAACATTGATCAATTTCATAGAAAACACATTCACAATCGATGAAGTCTAGTCTGAAATACAATAGATTTGACATATACTGTACATGAACATACAAAAAGAAAGTCCAGGTAAAACTGAAATAACTAGTCAACCACAAACATGTAATCACTTTGTTGTTACATAATAAATTGCAGGTTTTCATTATAAATTATATGATTTGTACAATGTTACATGACAAGACTTGAAGCTAAATTGTCAATATCATTTAAATGCTTAACAATTTTAACAGGGTTTTTTTTTGGGGGGGGGGGGGGGAGGAGGTCTTTACAAAATAAAGTAATCAAATAAGAAATTTCATCAATATTAACCATGCCAACATCTAAGAAAATGGTTGTTTAAAATAATAAAAAAGAATATTCAAATGGCTTAACTGTTGTACCAAAATGTATACAAAAAAAAAGAACAGAAACACGATTCTATAGAGAAGTATTATTGTGTGTACTAATCTACATTTAATTTTGGTGAATTTTGGTGAAATAACTTTTTTAGCTTACTGTTCTTATACTCAACATAAATATATTTAAAAAAAGCTGCCTGGTATAAATGTACATAAAGAGTGTAGGTGATTTAAAAAAAAGTTACAATGCACTAATCATCTAATGTAAGACTGCATAAAGAATCTATTCAGTGATGACCAGGAATAATTAAAATTCATTTTATTTGAGCAATGACAAAGACCAAGTTACATTTCAACAGCACTAAAGCATCGATTTTGTTTATGTTTTATAATCACATGATGGTCCTTGAGAACAACAATTACACGAAAGTGCCTCTTATAAACCAACTTCTAACATTTTCAATTATCCATGCATTGCTCTTGGACAGTTATGATCAAGAAAAAATTGATGTACTTTAGTTGTTGATAACATCAGGCCTATTTGCCTCTATACCAGGTAGCTACAGAAACTAATTTCAATGAGTAATGGTGTATTTTGGGTAGACCGGATGCACATCACTAGCTGGCAACCACATTTAAAACATATCGTCTGTCCCAAGCCAGAAAGGCGTTCAGCAACTCTGTATTTAAAGTACACGAGTTAAAGCCCCTCTGGCTCCAAGCAGATGATTTTTCTAATGATTATGCAGCTACATGTTTCTAAAAAAAATTGATACATTTCTATCTTAGCTAGTTTTGCTGTCAAATAAACAAAATACTTATCATATCTGTACATGTATATCAAATGAAATACATGTATAAAAAATCACTAGTGCTTTATGGATACCTTTTCTGCAAGATGGTTCATAATTCAATGATTGTACATACTTTTTTTTATATGAGATGTTCTCATGTATGTCCAATGCATGAACAAATTTCCTTTCATTTCAAATATATATTCACTTCAACCAGTATATTTGATGTAGAATACAGTAATTGATGAAAACACAATAATCTTCATATACGATTAAATGCTCTTCAAAGATTGATTTACACGCTAATGTACATTTCTGTCTTCATTGTTGATATTCTTAAACCTAAAACTCTATGACAACACATACCAGTATTAGCTATGCTGGGGTGGGTTATATGTACATATATATCCCGTTCCAAAATGGGATCTTTCCAGAATTTTTCTTCTCCAGATTGCACTTATTATCAGAGCCACTGTTAATTACAGTCTCAACTAGACTAATAAGCAAGCAATCACTGTACACAATGTCTAGAATACACAGTACAAGATGAAACAAGGGGAGCATAATGAGATGAAGAGACTTAAGAATATTAAACAGGGCAGAAATTTCATTCCTACATATAAAGACATCTACATGTAATTCATTGACATGCATTTGATCATTTTTAGTTTTCATGAATCACACCTCCCCCCCCCCCCAAAAAAAAGAAGAGTTCTGCAAATATTCCTATTAGTATTGGGGTATGTTACATAATGTATGCAAGAAACACTGTTTCATACTGGCTTGATAATTTCCTTCAGAAATCAATTTGTGCCTGGCAAAGAGACTGAAAATTATGCTGCTATCTCCCATTCATATTCAACTCTTGCATAGAATACAAACTACATCATTACTAAAACACGTACCTAAGTTGTCAACATACGCCCTATCAGTAAAGCATGACATTAATATAATCATCTGGTTGTCTCATTGTGAAAACAATTTTGCCCTGACAAGAAAATAAAGTTTGATATGGTAAGTCTATCAAAAGACATATTTGCTGTAGACATAGTGTTATTCTATAAAACATGCAATATATTAACCTCTACAAAGGTATTTACCATCTTGGACTGAATGTACTTATGGCAACAACAGGCATAAATAATCCTTTGAAGATAACATGATATACAGTATATCTAATCAAAATTACTGAAGATTACTCCAAATTTTGACAAGAAAATTACAAATTCATAGAAATCAGGTTGAAGAGAAGCAGCTAACAAAAAAAAGGAGTTTGCAACATGTATAACTGGACAACTTGAAATATAGAAAAAAGCAAAGTTACATAAAAAACACAAAGATAATTTTTCAGTCATATATTACCTGGCCATTCATATCTGCTCCTGTTTTCTCCTTATAAATTTCTTCCATCTTTCCCCCCAATTTATCTAACATAATATACACAATAGACAATAATTATAATGTTATGAATATTTATATTGGTCTTCTCGCCATTGAAGCTGTTTGAGAGAAGGAGATAGAGCTCCCTAGCGACTGCCCCCTGACTTTGAATGCTGTATCAGCCATTGCAATGTGATATCTAGTGAAGAAGAGAAGAGAAGAATGTAGTAAGAACATAACTAGAATAAGCAGGAAACAAAGTGACTAGATACTTATCTGGCAATGGGGAAATAGGGAAATAGACAATTTAAGAACTGATTTTTTTTAGCACTGGCGTCACATCAAGATGGCAGCACCTCGAGCTTAATGAAAGTGAAATTGTTACTTCATATTGAATCATGGATATCTTTGCACTGCTGCATTAGCACTATTTCAAAATTTTAACACAGTCAAAATTGTCATATGACACACCTGGCTAATTACATTCAGATGCTGAACCAAGTAAATCATCATTAATGATAACCATAATGCAAGCACTGCTACATAAAGCTTAAAGATGAAGTTGAGTTCTGGTCATGCGATTGCATCGTGAAAGAAACGGTGTGGAACCGACCAGAAAAGGTTGATCATCTAGCATATAAGAATTTGTGTGTATTGCAACGTTCTGGAATCATCAAAATGATAAGAAATGTGGCCAAGTCTTGGCAAAGTTACAAACACTTGCACAGAAAGATGTATATGGGACTACACGAACACGTGGCGTAAAAAGCCGCCCCCCCCCCCCCCCCCCCCCCCCCCCCGATTTTTACGATGTTACATGCATATTTAGAATATGAAGGCATTTGAAGAGCCATGCTTTTCAGGGAACATGTCTTATCTGATGTTCTTCCACACTTGCATAATAAGAATGAGTAATGCTCACAAATTATTTTTCACCTCTTCCCAGAACTCAACCTTCTCTTTAAATTGTAAAATTCAAAGATTGGCAATAAATAATAGAACATACAAAACTGGGAATATTGTGTGATAGTTACCAATATTTTCTTTCTCTTTGCACGAGATGGAATAACAGCAGATCTCTCGGTCCTGAATCGCTGATAAGTTCATCCTCTCTATGAGTTCTTTCTCATCGTATGCTACAGGAATGTCTCTCTTGTTACCCAGCACCAGAACCTGAGGGAGGTTAGAAATAAGATAGATTACACTTAAAGTAATCTCTCAATACAGGCCTGTCTTCATCAGCTCGAGATTGCCAAATATCATGCTATTTGAACTGTTCGATCGCAAATTATCCACTTAATTTGCGTCTTCATCAGCTCGAAGTTGCAATTAGCGGGATATTTGGTCTAGATAATCATCCCAAGATATCTTGGGCTAGTTTACAAAATATCCCGCTATTTGTCCGGTGTGTCTTTACCAAAATTACGCTGAGCAAAATATCTCAAGTTAATTTCTCGAGCTCGAGTTTCAAGTTTCGAGGTCAAGTCTTGAGCTGACGAAGACGTGATTTGTAACTTCTGGAGTATTTCCCAAATCAGAAATAGTGGGCTACTTGGCAATCTTGAGCTGATGAAGGCAGGCCTTATGTGTGTACATAAAAGTGTCCTATACCGTATGAGAATTTACTTACCAGGAACTAACTTGAGATCATTGATGTGCTACATTAACAAAACTACAAGCAGGGTACCGGCAAAGCACTTGGAACAAATTGTCCAATCTAGTACGATCTGGGAATTTGTAGAGCGTCAATATCAAGTACTGTAAATCTCTGTGTATAAGACGCACTTTTTTGCCGCAAAAAAAAAAATAGAAAGTCGGGGCTGCGTCTCACACACAGGTTAATTTTTTGTTTTGTTGTTGTTGTTGAAAGTTTCGATTTATTCCCCTCCATCTGGCACTATGCCTGGCAATGTCTCCCAGCTCAGAAATTGGTGTGTTGACTCACCACTCGGAAACTAGAACAACACTATCTGTCTGGATTCTGTTTGGACTTAGAGGGAAATTTGTCTGTCATCTTTAGTTTTAAAAATGACATTGTTACTATACAGTAGACTTGCGGTTGCACCATGTGAGAGAAAGGGAGGATTGGGAAGTCCTGAAAAGGACTCTTGATAATCTTTCTTTCTTGAACGTGTGTAGTCCTGAAAAGGTCTGTTGGTGTAGTCTTGAAAAAGACTGTTGGTTATCTTTCTTAGCTTATAGTTTGATAAAAAAGATAACCAACAGTCTTTTTCAAGACTACACCAACAGTCCTTTTCAGGACTACACACACTCAAGAAAGAAAGATTATCAAGAGTCCTTTTCAGGACTTCCCAATCCTCTCTCTCACATGATGCAACCACAAGCCTACTGTATATCTACATCACCATGCAAGCCGATACTTATAAGCAGCACCTGACATTGTTACTATTATTTGTGACAAGTTCGCAAGCACAAATGGGGGCTTCAACTGCACCTTGCACTACAATAAAAGCCTTTCCTACGTGGGTTTTTTAACACGGACTTGGCTCGCTACCGCCAGAGTCGGCAAAAAAAAAAAAGGGGGGAGGGGGGGGGGGGGGGGTTTGCCCCCCAAAAGAGGGGTGTGTCTTATACACATGTGCGTCTTATCCACAGAGATTTACGGTAGCCAATTCAAAGATGCCCATACGCTTTTTATGAGTCATATGGAAAACTTTAGGGGGTTTGCCTGGTTACAATGAGGAATACATGTTTATGTCTACTGTGCAGTTTTCTACATTAGAAGATACATGTATGTAGCAATACAATTTAACTACAAACTCCTGAAAGAATTCCACATCTGTTCACAGATCTCAGAGAAGCTGTAGTTACATGTACAGTCACAGACATGTGACAATATAGAGTAAGAATTAGATGTGGGGCCTCATATGTAGATCTCTATGCAACACCGTATTTCACCTTCTCCATCATAAGTGTTAGTATACCATTACAACAACAACAAATTGTTAACAAAGGAGAGCTACACTGTATATCAATGATGGCTTGACTTTCTTCTGTCAACAGACATAAAGATGATGACAAAAGACCTGTTTATTGTGGCACAACAACAGTGTCAAAATTATTAATATCTATGAAATTGTGGCATGAGTGATTGGAAATACAATGTACATGTATTTATAGGTACATGTAATACAAAGTTTTGGTACATGTATATGGTCATGAATTTTGTTCAAATGAACATATTGGAAGCATATGCGATCCTACAAAATTCAGTGATTGTTGTCGCGGTTGAAATCAAGTCTAAAGTTATGAAATTGTAAATAATAAACTCTTTATGTTGTATAGCTCCCTCTCAAGGTCAAGATATTAAATAAGCTTTTAAACAATGTTTCTTGACTTAAATTGACCGATTAGCTTTTCCCTTTGGAAATTATATATCACAACTACATATTCTGAGATTTTCGTGGTCGCAGCTACCATTGTATGGCCGTAGGCGCTATTTGAAATTTATCAAAATTTACCAGGAGCAATTTTTCTACTCATATACAATGTACGTAGTTCTCAAGTGCTATGTACATGTAGCAGAAATAGAAAATTATTTAAACTGGTACTGCAAATTGAGGATTCCTTTTAAGGAACAAATAAAAGTTTAGGAGCATTTAATCATTGCTAATTTGCTATATATTTAAATCATACTTGTGACAAACAAAATTACACATCACTTCAAAGTGTGAAAACTAGACATTTCTTCAAGGTATCCTGTATGGGGATATGACAGTGTTATTGTTGCAGTCTACGACAATCCAATAAGAGGAAGGAAGTGTTCAATCACATGAACATTTACTCAACAATAGGATTGATTCCAAAATGCAACCAAACCTAGCAGACAATCAAAGGACTCTAAGGTTGTAAGGAACTTTGAAACAAATGAAAAAACTGTAAAAGTAGAAATATTCGCGGTACATTAATTTTCGTGGATTTTGCGCTAAGATCGGCAAGCCCGAATTTTAAAACTCACAAAAATATAAGCATGACTTCTTATGCGTGTTTTGAAAGGGCTGAATTTGGTGCAACACAAATTTAAGAACCAGAGACAATAAAAGCGTTTACAGAACTCTCTACTTGCAGGATTGTCCTTCAATATTATATGGGGTGATTAACTTTTATCTACATGTAGTTAAGATGGAAATGTTGTGGCAAAGATTTCTGGGGGAAAATATGGATACCAAAACTAATATTTTGCTTGATCTATTACCTTACTCAATGTTTAAAACGCTTGTAATGGATTTTCTATTACTACAGTACATACTGTATCATGCCTTAAACGTATATTGTGTATTTCATTGCTATTCATCAGTCTGTAAGGATTTGCTTTTTTTAGCCATCATCTATCTTCATAATACATGAACTTGTTTCATGAATTATCAGAATTGACTGCTTTCTCAGAACAATGAAGTACATGTACAATGTAATGCAATGTTGATATAAGTCTGAGGTGAAAATTTACATTTCTTAATTTATCTATACTTTGCACTTTACACTTACAAACAGCACGAGGCTAGAATATAGCCCCAAAATGTCAGTTTTTGGAATTCTATATACATTGATTTCTTTTTAGTTTTAGTCATCACATACCGTACTTGATATATTAAATAAATGTATGAAATAGTATTGGAACTTTAATCTCTCAAAATACTTTCCTTTTCCTCTTCATCCTGTCCATAAATCTCAAAATCAAGACTTGATATGAGAATTTTTGAGACAAATGATGAATGCACTTGTTTTGAAGATGTTCTTTACTTACCGGTATTCCTTGGAGTTGTGGTTTGTCCAGTAAGTTGTGCAGTTCATTCCTTGAAGCTTCTAACTTTTCATGGTCAGCTGCATCTACCATATACCTGCAAAAAAAAAGGTAACAAATAACTAAAAAATAATATTCTACCCAAAGTACATTTATTTCCTTTGTCAAAACATGACTAGTATACATGTACATGTATGTAGGTAAGCCCTCAAAATCAACTCTCCATATTCTTTTATTCATTTTATCAGTAGAAAATATTAATTTACAAAATAGCTTACAAAAAAAAAATTGGGGGATGTATTCGCATTGAAGTTGATTTTTAACATTCTGATGGTATTACAAGTCCGCTTTTATTTTCCTTGCAAGTTCATTAAAGGTTGTCCAACAAAAAAGTACATGGCCTTGCCTCTGTCCTAAAAATACACAGATCATACAGTAAAATACTTCTAATATCAACATCATCACACTTGCCATAACTGTATGTGCCCAATGTCCATTAACAAATCTGTACCACAATATGTTTCTCCATAACTTCCTCTTTTGAAGAAAAACATACATGTACATCATGTACATGCAGACTTTAATGGAAGCAAAACATTTTAAAGATCAAGCCCCACTTCACAAATGACTGCATGTAAATCTGCATTTGACTACTGGTCATTCTAAATATCTAGAAATATTTGAGCTCATTTCCCTTCATCAGATCGACACTGATTCTTTACATTGCTCTCTGTAACGTACATGTATGTTAATTTGGTGGTTACTAAATTCTCCACTTCCCATAGGCTTACTACAGCAGACCTGCCAACCACTGGAGTTCAAAAACTGTATTCTTTAATCCCAAAAGTTGTATTTTACTGACAAAAGTTGTATTCTTAAAAATAAACACGGACTGTTACATAAATGCCTGGAGATGTACAGGTAAAGAAAAACATGTGAGAAAAGAGAGGAGAACTTACACAATACAATTGACCCCTCTGCAGTATCTCTCCCACATACTCCTAAACCTAGGCTGACCTCCAATGTCCCAAAGCTAGAAGAACAATAAACACAAAAGGAAAATAAAATGTAGTTTCTATGTTATCAAATATCTGATCATAGAGCGAAGTAGGTACATGATCCAATGAACATGAAAGTGAAACCTACTGTAGCAATGTGATGCTAAACATGTACCTGATTAGTCTGCTTTCTATTTACTACAAAATGTTGAGAAAAAAAGGTATATAACTTGACAAAATGTCTAGATCTACATGACACTAGTCAGCAAATTGCTATTTGGCGAACTACATATATAAAGGTTAAGAGTGAAATTAAAATAAAATCTTAATCTGACTGCAATTTCTGAAGTAAAGAAAACACAAAAATTCACCGTTGATACATTATGGAGTAATGTGAAACAACAGAAAATAGATAACACTGCACTTGTTTGTAACATGTTCATGTACATAACAGAGAATGTGAGAAAAAAACAGAGGGAACTGATACTACATGTAACACTACATGTACATGTAGGTATTGTGTTACAAAAGATATACATGTATCTACAGGTATTCCATGTAATGGTAAACTGCATAGTTATAGTTTGCCAAATATCATAACAAACCCATCATTTAATTTGCGACAGAAAAAAAAATCCGTAAATTATCAATGTTTTATTACATGTAGTATGCAATGCATGAAGAATCATACTTGCAGTCTATGAAATAATTAATGACTTGGTATTTATTAATTATTACAGTTAATGAACCAATAAAAGTGAAAGCTTAGAAAAATTAAACGTTGAGAATAAAATCTCACTCAAAATGTTCATAATATGGACAAAATTAACTCAAGTACAGGCGTAGCAATAGCTGTCTTGTCTTTTATTTATTTATAATAAATCAAGACAGTTTTAATCTTTAAGTACCGGTACACTTACCTTTATTGTGACATTTCCTTTTGTAACTTTCCTCATGTTGAAACCTACTGTGGGGATCATGTCTTCATTAAATTGTCCAGACTGTTGGGAGAAGTTGAGACAGGAAGTTCATGGTTATATTACATACTATGATTAATTGGTAATACCTCTAGCACTACTACAATAACAGTGCTTGTAGACGTTACTCGCTGTACTCACACAACAAAATCATAATTGACATGTAGCATCATTATCATGGTCACATCCACATTTCTGGTGGGGATTAATAAATCCTTCCATGTAAGTAGAATGAAAGTTTCTATGTGAGTGGAAGCAATAAATCAAATAGATCAGTAATAGTATTAAAAAGATCGGAGTCATCAGACAAAGAACAAAACAGTGGTGACTTTTTTTTATCGCTATGGAGATACAGAAATCTTACTGGAAAATTGGTTGTTTACAAGTATTTTTTTGAATACCGGTAGTGTACTTTTGAGGGACGACTCTCTATATTGTGATATGTGAATTTTCATTTTCCCTCACAATAAATCACCTCTCTAAAGTTGTCGATCACTGATTACATGTTTTAAATGTCTTTCTAGATTTTAAAATTCTTTTCTGACTTTCCTGATTCCACCTCCCCCTCCCCCGCCTCTCTGAGACAATTAACAAATGTACACTTGAAGAGTAATATAATCCATACATGTAAAGTAATAAGTAACACTGAAGAATAACAACCAATACAAGGACACAATGAAGAAATCATAAAATCAATTGGATAAATTGGAATTTGGATAGGATAAATTGGAATTTGGATAGTATAAATAAAGTTTATGGTAAGCCCACATGTATCGTAGGCCAATATTGGATGTACATGTCATATCATTGAAGCCCTTCTGTTTCTGTTTCGGTTGCGTTGGTAGATTCAGGTTTAACTGTACTGCACCAACGTTTTTTTTTCCCCTCTGTAAAACTGAAGTGGCAATATGCTAGTTAACATGTAGATACCATCCATGTCATACATGTACTGTACACATGTAAAAGTTATTGAAATACCAGTAGACAACAACATAAAGTGAAAAATTCATTAAAAGTTATGATTAAGTGCTATTTCACCTCTTAGTTTTAACTTTAACAACTTGAATTAGTCTAAATTAAATAAATATGAAATTCTTAAAAAAAGAAAAAAGATAACAAACATGAAATCTTCATATTATTTAGACTTAGTTTAGATCTAGAGTCACACACACAAAACTCAAAAGTAAAAAAAATTGAGAAAAGTCTTTATTCACATCACAAGCCTCAAATTTTGAAATGCCATCTTTAAGTTACATCGAAAAAAAATTGGACTCTGGGAGGTTTAAATTGAATGAGTGAGCAGACATGAGAACCTTTGTTTTTTGCGATATCAAAATTAAACCGCCACCTCTCTTTTTGCAATGCAAATGACACTGTTTTTACCCAAATATTGATGAGATTTTGGCACATTTTACTCTCTACAATATTACAGACGAGATCAAGCATTGCATTGAAAAATATGACAGAAAATTCTTTTCAATTTCAAATGAAATGTTTGGTGTGCAGACATAGTCTACATGTAAGTCTACAGTGACATGTAGGACCCTCATCATACAGTCAGTCACTCAACAACATGACTCAAGTACACTAGCTCAGTCACAGACATTCTGTAATGTGGGTGGATTGCATTAACGAATAACGTACCGAAATCACATTGACGAATGTAGTTTTTCCAGAATACTGAAGACCGACTAAAGTAAGCTCCATTTCTTCCTTCCAGAAAAGGCTTTTCAGCCAGTCCAGGAATTTGTTGATAACTGATAACATTTCGAGTCCTTTTGTATGAAAAGAGATGAATTAATTAAATGTACTGTCGAATTGTCGCTAACTTAGATGAGTTTGCATGCGTGTAGCACGGTCACAATCACAATCAGAGATGTTATCGGACAACAACGCAATTTTGCATTCACAATGCATGCATTAGAATATTGTACTGTGTTCTGTATTCATAATGAATGAGCTTTCATCACGACCTGACGCACAGGTCATTTTAAAAGTACATTGAAATGATTATTTTTAAATGTAATACTTTAATCTCCAAGTTATCGATGATCATTTGAGAAATTTATTTGTGACTTTTTTCATTACAAAGATTATTCCTTTTAGCAAGGCGGAACACCCGAATCGATCAAATATTATATTTTAAAGACCCTGTAAATTAATGGGAGTGTTTCCCCCGGATTGTATCATATGATCATGTCACCTGACCAGCGTCTTGTGACTTTTGCAGCTGATCAGCTATGCATGCTCGCTGTGTCGTGCTACAGCCTACAACTACAAGGCAGTGATACGGCAAAGCAGCCTTTCTGAAATTCCCGATAGAATATAAAGAAAGTTTAAAAAAGGAAGAGGATAGGACATAATCATGAGGGTTTATGCTGTGATATTCATGTTGGCAGTAGTGCCTGCCTTTGTGGTCGGCGATACGCCGGCAAATTGCACGTACGAAGACGTCGCCGGGGAATGGATTTTCGAGGTCAGCGGTTATGGCGGTGACAACAAAATTGATTGCACAAAGCCAGGTACGTACATTTTCTCTCTTTGATCAATTTGATAAAATTATTTAATTGTTTAAGTCTTATGTAGGCTAATATATGGTTAAACTTGTTTAAGGAATTTAAATACGTCTAAAGTCAGACCATGTACAGTCTACATTCAAGTGGATCCAGATCTAGATCCAGATCTAGATCGATCATCGGGATAAGGCATGCCAGGCTGGGTCAAACTACAACTGGAAAAAGAAATTATTAACGATGTAATGTTTGAAAAGAGATGCCTAATGAACTAAGTTAATTTTGACATTGTTTGATTCAGTTATTAGGCTATTTAAGTAATCAAGCTCTTCAAAGCTATTAAATGTTGATATGTGATGATGTGTCATCTTATGAAGATAGCAAATCAGTTAGACAAAACTCCAGATTCATGCAGAGTTCTACTTTTGTATTTGACAGGATTTATTTTGGTATCATTATTTGGTGAGCAGCTTGTCATAGCACCATGATCCATCAATTAAACATTTTGATAATGCATTACCGATAATTCATTTTGTACTTTTGATACTAGGAGAAACATATTCTACTTCACTTGTATTGATATGTTGAAAAAAAGTTAAATCATGTCAGCAATTTGGCAATTGGTTGAAGATAGTTTTTTCATAGAGATGACAGCACACATAGAATTATAATTTTGTTTCTTAATGTACTTGCTCAAAGTTCTGTTAAAAAATATCTATTATAGCTATACAAAGAATTAACTTTTATTGTTGGAGTTGACATTCTCTACATGAGCTTTAATATTTCAGTAATATATATTCACATGCTGCATTTAAAAATGTAACTGTTGTTTTAAAGGGGTGTAGATCTACAGTGTAGAAAGTTGACTAATTTGTGTTTTTCCTTACTTCATACTTATGCAAAGTTTGTAAAGTAATTATTATTGAGACTACAGTATATAATTTTTCTCTTTGATTATTGTAAATTTCTTTTAAAAGGGAAGGGGCTCTGCTTGAGATTTTCCAACTTAAAGTTTTAATTTTAAGGCTGAAGTATTTAATAGAAGTTTGAAGTGCAACGTTTTGAGGGCTTTATTTACAACTATGTTTAGACAAAGGCTTTTTTACAAGAACGTAAAATACTAAATAAACAAGCATGTTTTTTTTTAAATTTATTTATTTTATTTGTCAGGTCCTGTGACATACAAGTTGCATGTGCAGTTGCTTTTCCCAGATGTGGCAGTTGATGTCCAGTATGGTACCAAAGGATTCTGGACTCTGATTTACAACCAGGGTTTTGAGGTTGTGCTCAACAATAGGAAGTACTTTGCTTTCTCAGAATACACTCAACAAGGAAGCCAGGTGAGTTGAAGTTGGCTCTGGAATCTCCCCAAATCTTGCCCCTTAGGTCTGTCTGTTTTATACCAGATATCGATAGAACTTTATCATATATCTTTCTTGGTTATTGTCTACATGTTTGAATTCATTTCATTCCTTTAATTTTTTATTTTAACCGTGGCAAGTAGTAAATCTGTGGACTGTAATTTGTTATGATTAGATATATGTGCTCAGCAGACATAGAGAACAAATTTGAATAAAGCTGCCGCTGGAATTTACTTGATCAAATCAGCAAAAAGTAGATCTCTGTTTTAATCTATTTGATCCATTTTTAAATCTTACATTTACCACAGAGTTCTTTTTACCTCAATTTCTGTCTTCCCTCTCTTCATTTATCATAGACTTTTAGAGAGCAGAAAACTGTTCAATAATATTAAACATAATGATAAGTGGTTCAGTTTTTTTGCAGCAACAGCCTGGGTATTTCTGTAAAATTGTGAATGATATTTCTTCATCAAGGCTTTATTTGACATATTTTTTTGTTATTTTCTCTCTCGATCCCAGGTTACCATGAATTGCTCTCAGACCCTCCCTGGTTGGTCACACAATGTAATTGGGTCTGACTGGGCTTGCTATGTAGGCAGCAAGGTGGGTCCATCAAAGGTACACACTGTCAGGAAAGAAAGGTAAGGTGTTTTTATTTCAAAGAGGAATATTTTGATTTGGGGAAACTTGGTTTTAAAAAAAGCTTCCAATGAGAACTGTCAATAACAAAGAGCATCATAAATATAAATATATTGTAATCACAAGTTAGATTAAAGGGTTTGGACTGTGCATGAAACTATGCTAAAGTACATGTACTTAAAGAAATATAGAGTAACATTTCAATCAAAATGATTATTACTACAAGATGTTAAAAAAAAAAAAAAAAAAAAAAAAAAAAATTACCGGTATTGTCAAATTATGTTTTTCAAAGAATGCTAAGGTCAAAAGACTAAAAAGCTTCAAGAAGAGTAACTACATGTATGTACAAGTAAAAAATCATTTGCAATCAGATTTTTTTTTTCCTTGCTCAATGAGCCATTAAAATACATGTACATCGGATTAACTATATGGGTTATATGTAGTATAAAATTATCAAGTAGCTTAGATATCTAGATTTTGTTCTATATTAATGCTCTCAAAACAATGGCAGCGGAATGAAAGACAGATCATCTTCATTTGTTTAAATAAGTCTATTTGAACAACAATTATGTAGGCATTATAAATGTTTTATCTCTATACCCTTCCGCCCCGACATTTGGTTAAATTTAAGTATTTGGTATTTAATGTGTAAACTGTTTGTATGATGAAGTTTGGGTGATAAAGTCCTTACTTAAGTACAACTGTACATAGTTTCCCCATGTACCACCTCACCTCTGAAATTTGATATTGGTACAAAGTCCAATCTGTTTAATATTGCCAAGGATGCTAAATTTCTATGGAGTTTCATCATCACTTACTGTCCTTTGATTATGTGCATACCGGTATATACTTCTTTGTATTTATGGATAAGACGAGATAGTAAACATATTGTTGTAATTCAAATACCCTTGTTTATGTGGGCAAATATTCTACACATAAAAGTTTATCAAAGATATGACTACAAAAGTCTTGATGTTCAGACCCAATTTGCCATCTTCCATCTGCATGAAACATGTTCAAAGAGTGCTTGTACATGCTACTTTACCTTGAGTATGCAGCTCCTAAAGTTATTAGTATTCTGCTCTCTTGATATTAAGGAGGGCCACACTTTCCATAGAATCATGAAATGTAATATAGTTTGGAACGTACATGTAGTAAAGGTTTAAGGGACTAACTACCAAATTTATTTGTGAACATGTGGTTGCCACAAGCTAAAGCCTCCCACACAAATCTGTAGACATGCACCCTCAAGCTTTTAGGTATGACATTTGCACTCTTTTATTCTGTGTTTCTTCCTTTTATTTTGAATGCCAAACAATAAATATACATAAAAAGGTCTTCAGCAAATGGAGAAGAAAAAACAACCCTGCTTTGTGCTGGTTTGAGGTATTAAAATCACTCAAAAAGAAATTGACACTTCTGCAAGATTTGCCAATTTGAATGTTTAAAATTTCCATCTAATTCCAGGCGTCCAGATTTCAGCCAGATGATGTACAGAAACGATAAGAAGATGGTAGAGAAGATCAACAGAGCTCAGAAATCCTGGAATGCAACCATCTATCCCGAGCATGAGATGTATACTGTGGAAGATATGCGGAGGAGAGCAGGTGCCATGAATGGCTTAGGATCCTCCAGGTATTAATCCACATCTATCTGTCCATCAGGGGGGTGTTTCACAAAGATCCTAAGATGAGCTTAATTTTAAGTTGGACTCAAACATTATGGAGAGTCATTTGTAGCCTTAAAATAAAATATTTTCAATAGTGAATATTCAAGTATTTATACTTTTTTATAAATTTCACATTAATACCAAGAAATCTCCTTGATAATAAAAAAATATGAATGATTTAAATCAACATTTTATGCCTTTATAAATAACTTATACAAAATATTTTCATAGATGCTAACGGCTTTCCATAATTGTTCAGTCCAACTTAGACATAAGTTCAAATTAGAATCTTTGTGAATCACCCCCTGGACCCATAATCTGCAGGGGCATATCTAGAGAGAACTGTTGTTGGGGGGGGGGGGGGGTGGTGACAACATCTATTACAAAAACTTATGTCAGTAAATTTGGGATATGTAGTCTTGTCCACAACTTGCTAACAGAACTTTTTTTTTCTTTCATTCATTCATTTGGGAAGTTTTAGAAAACCCATCAGCAAATTAGTTCCAACAATCCCTCCCCTTTCAAAATGATCTAGCTATACTATTGTAAACGAGTTTTGTTTCCTCCCATAATTCAAGATTTATTTAAACCTTTATTATCAAGTATAGACTACTTATGTTTAACAAAATGTGTAGAAAATGGGTTGTCTGCAGTAAAACTTAGATAGTTACATAATAGGAACAAAAATTTAGAGAGTTTTCAAAATAACGTCATAATAAGCACATCCATAGTAAGACAAGATAAACCTTCCTGTATTCGCACCAGACCAGCACCGGCAATTGTCACCAATCAGGCAAAGAGGGCAGCATCCTCATTGCCACCCGGGTTTGACTGGCGGAATGTGAATGGCGGACAGAACTTTGTGTCTCCGGTCCGCAATCAGGCCTCTTGTGGCAGCTGCTACGCGTTTGGCTCTCTGGCCATGCTGGAATCTAGATTACGCATTGCAACCAATAACAGCATTCAGCTAGTCTTCTCGACCCAAGATGTGGTATCATGCAGCGAGTACTCACAAGGTATGTGTAGAGATATCTACATACATGTACTATCCTTGAGACAATGTGGTAATTTCATGGTTCTTTGTTTATTAACACTCAACTGAACTGCAATCAATTCCATACACCGGATTGTACGGTACAGTAAAAGGTCAAAGCAATAGAAGTAGGTAAAACAAAGTTTCCCTTCCTTGAATCCGTGCCCACATATATCATACCGGTATCTATGGTTTCCATGTGGTAAGCCTAGCTACATGTGTGCAACGACTCCCGTCAATCTATGGTATCCTTAAAAAATAAAATTTGGTTCCCTATAACTTGATCCTTACAGCTGGTTTACACAGTTTGACAGTGTAGGCCTACAGCTTGGTCATGGAACAAGATCTTTGTATTGGGATTCTTGGATTTGAAAATGTTTCTTAATTTCTAGTAAAACAAAATCTGATTCTCTGATTTGACCATCTGAGACAACTGTAATGATGTGGTTTAAAATGGATTATCTATGAGATACATGTTAGAAAGTATAATTATATTTTGTAGTTTCTATTTTTGTTGATATTTTAGTTATCTGTTCTACCCATTTTAGTTCATGTGACATAACCTTTCAATAAGTCAGTTCACAGTTGTAGTCTGAGCATATGAGTAGATAATGGTCATTGCAGAACAAATTGTGAAATACACAGAGACGAAATACTGGATATGTGCTCATGAAAGTAATAATCAGCCGAGCAATGAATGAATAATCTGAGCATCCAATCATAATGAAAATATGAAATCAAAGTTGCTATTTATTGTAAATTTTGCAGGTTGTGAAGGGGGATTCCCATATCTTGTTGCTGGCAAGTACGCCGAGGACTTTGGTGTCGTAGAGGAGTCCTGCTATCCATACGAGGGGACGGACATCTCGTGCTCCAAAGAGAAAGCAGGATGCAGAAGATATTACGCCACCAACTACAACTACGTCGGTGGATTCTACGGGGGATGCAAAGAGGAACTGATGAGAGCACAACTTGTCAAGAATGGCCCCTTGGCCGTCAGTTTCATGGTTTATGATGACTTTATGGCATATAGTGGTGGGATATACCACCATACTGGTGTTAAGAATGAAAACCTCAAATTCAACCCATTTGAGATTACAAATCATGTTGTGCTTGTGGTTGGTTATGGTGTTGAGGCGGGATCAGGGGAGAAGTTTTGGATTGTGAAGAACAGCTGGGGTGCAGATTGGGGTGAAGAGGGGTATTTCAGGATTAGAAGGGGAACAGATGAATGTGCGATTGAGAGTATTGCAGTAGAGGCCTTTCCTATCTATCCATAGAAAATCTTAAAAAGTTACTGTATGTGTATTAGTAAATGTAATTATGCCTTCAACCATATTATGTTGATGAAATAAGAAAAAGAAATCGCCGGATTGAAATATCTAAAGAGGTTCTCACATGTATTCAAAGTGCAATCTTGATTATGAGTAATTTTTCAATCCCTTACTTAGACTTTTATCACATGTACTTCAAAATGTAGTAGAAAAAATTATTCTAAATTGACCTCAATTACAAAGGTTATGATCCATTTAAACACTTCCTATAATAACCAATGTTTCTGTTATCATAAACTTAAACGTGCCTTAGCAATTCCGGGGGTCTAAAGTTATGAAATATTGTTTGTCATGCAAATATTGAACCATGTTCCGGTCATTTTGATTTTCAGTGGTTTATATCCCACTGGTGCCACCATGCCAGTGTTGAATAAAACTCAAGGTGATTTAGATTTTTGCTTTTCTATGATGACTTTATTTGATTGCATTTGTTGCATTACTAGATTAACACCTCCCATTGTGTATTGGTATGTATGTATGTATCGATATATTGAAATGATGATACAGGTTTGGGATTGGGGAATTAGCTGAGGCCGGGATACCTGAATAGAAGACTACATATGCATGTACACTGTTGATAAATGTCTTCTCACTTTGTCCATCCATCTAGTTACTTTACATAGTGGCAGCATTCATTTAAAAATGTGAACAGAGGGCAACAATGCATATATATCAAGTATGATATCTTAGGTGAATCAAAACATCACCCCATGGTGTATGGTGTCTTTGAGGATTCCTCCGTTAAAGCAGTGTTTAATTTTTGTACATACAACAGAAAGTTTTTATCATTATGATGACTTACTGTGCACAAGACTATGCCAAGGAGACTGACTAAGTTGACAAGGCTTGACTCTTGATTTGCAGTCTTACGGTAATTGTTTACCAACTGGATATTACATAATTTATGTGGTAATTGTATGCATCAGGGAAGTCATTTATATGTGGCAAGAAGACGCAACTTGAATTTCAATTTGAAAGAATTTAGAGTGGTTGCATTTTTAATTGAGTGTTCAATATTGTTCCATAATTCACCACCTTTTTGTTGTATAGAATTTACCTTTCGTGAATGTGGCAAGAAAATTTGACTTTTGTTGGATTTTTATTGTTTATTTGGCCGCAGTTACTTCCAGTGAATATGTTTTGATGTTATGCATTATAGTAACTGCCAAGCATTTTAAAATAGTAGAAACTAAGGTCACCACATCAAACTTCAAGTAGATTTCCTAATAAGATGCAGGATGATTGATGTTTAATATGTGAAATGCCCAGCAAAACTGAGCATATCTGGAATATAAAGAACAGTTTATGATTCAAATATATTTCCATACATTTAAAATGAAACACTTTCGGTAGAAAATGCAGCTGTTATTGGAAAAACTTGTCTTTCTGCTTAGCTCAAGTAGTCTTTTGTAAACAAATGTAAGATTTACGGATATTTGCTCAGTGCATAGAGGCTTTTGTACCATAGCCATGCTTTTAAACATGTCCTTTACTAAAATAGAGCTACTTAATAAAGAACGATATCATGTACAGCCTATTTTGCATGGTTTGCAGGGATTTCTCATCTTATCTTTGTTTTTATATTGGTTGGTAAAATACCACGATGATTCTTTCATACAATTTTGACAAAACATAAACATTTCTTTGTGTGTATTTTTATATGATAATAAATCAACCATGATTACATGACTTTGTGTCAAAAATGTGAGTTTTTTATGCTTGGACAATTCAGATCATGTACTGTATGCATTCTACAAAGAAATGAACAAATAAATGCAGAATGATGTCTTCCACATAAGTTGTAAAAGCTTGCTTTAATACACACTATTTGGGTCATATTCTTCTTTCTTTGATCTGTTTCTAGCAGGCTTTATGAATCTGGAATGAGTTTTATGCTATACAGGGCTAAATGAGAAAAGGCTACAGTATAACAGAAATACAAAGGGAAATAGTGAAAGAGAGATGAAGAGAGAGGAGGGAGGAGAATAGATTGACCAGTGGACGGAAAGGATGGTGAACCAGCTGCAAACCCCTTTCTTTGATGATTGTCTGATGCTATCGTGGCATTATATCCTTAAACCATAGAGGTACAGTGTCACTTTTTAGTGTCATTTTAAATTTCATCTGTCAATATCTATCACACTACAAATTGCACATACTGCAGGAGTAGAAAGCTAAGAAAATCACTGCCTCTACATTATGTAATTCAAAATTAATATTTTGAATGAATATGAATGTAAACATTAGAATATAGGCTTTAACAGATCATATAGAATTCATAATCAATATTTCCATATAGCAAGGTATAACAATTTGTGCTGTATTAAATGGTATGGCTCTATGCAATCAAATATATCTACAACCAACAAAATTTGTCTCCAACTATTTTTCCTCTTTTTTTTCTTTCTTTTTCAATAGACCTCACCCTGCACCGGTCACATCAGAGGCATCAAAGGCTGCATTCTCACTGCCGGAGTCCTTTGACTGGAGGGATCTCAATGGTCAGAACTTTGTATCACCAGTCAGAAACCAGGCTCAGTGTGGAAGTTGCTTCTCCTTTGCTGCCCTGGCGATGCTGGAAGCGAGACTGCGCATAGCGACCAACAACACGGTCCAGAAAGTGTTTGCACCTCAGGATGTGGTGGACTGCAGTGAATATGCACAGGGTATGTTTGTTTGTGCGGCTCCCGGCCGTACCAAGTTGGAATCTTAAAATACTGACTGCTGAATTTTCTCATCCCCCTATGCTTCATCCATGAGCTACATATAGATTTCATAGGCATTACCAGGTTTTTCTAGGTATATGCCTTTGTTACAAAGGAGTGATTAGATGAATTTAAGTGAATTTGCCATGCTAAAATTTGTTCACACTACTTGTAAGGCCTGGACCCTCACCCTGTCTTACAAAGAGTTAATATTAGTCACAACTTATTTGTGATTGATATCAAACGCAACTATGTACATAAGAGATTGGAGACTGCAAACTTGAGATTGATTAGAGGACTCACGATTGATTTGGATCAATCTCAACTCTTTGTAAGACAGGGCTCAGGTTTCACAAACTAGTCTTAGAGAGATGTGCATGTCTCATATAGCTTGGAATGATAGGATTTAAAGTTTGTTGCATGAAATTTTCAATCAAGTCAATCAATCCAATTAAAAATTACATGATGATTCATGTTTTTGGTAATTCAAATTCTTTGTCCTGTTGTGATATGCTCCCAAAATCATATTTATTTCCCAATCATACCAGTCTGACTGAATCCAGGGCAAAATGGCCAAGGATTGGTCTCTTTGTATATCTTTAGAATTGATGATTTGGTAGTGTGACTGATCGAGGTATCACTTCTTTGGTTTCTCCATAGGATGTGAAGGAGGGTTTCCCTATCTAATAGCCGGTAAGTATGCAGAGGATTTTGGTGTGGTGGAGGAATCGTGTTACCCTTATCAAGGAGTTGATTCGGCTTGCAGCAAGGAGCAGCCTGGATGCCGCAGATACTATGCCACCAACTACCAGTACATCGGGGGCTTCTACGGGGCCTGCAACGAAGAGCTCATGCGCCTCGCCCTGGTCAACAACGGCCCAATCGCCGTCGGTTTTCAGGTCTATGGGGACTTCATGAGCTATAAAGGGGGCGTGTATCACCACACTGGAGTCAAGAACTCCATGCTGAAGTTTGACCCCTTTGAGCTGACCAACCATGCCGTGCTGGTGGTCGGGTATGGGGTGGATGAGGCATCGGGGATGAGTTTCTGGACTGTGAAGAACAGCTGGGGTACTGGATGGGGTGAAGGGGGTTACTTCAGGATCCTAAGGGGTACCGATGAGTGTGGTATTGAGAGTATGGCCATGCAGTCATTCCCTGTCTTTCCATGATTTTCATAATTCTGCATTTTAGTCTTTGAATGAAATAGGGATATTTTTCATATGGTATCAATGATATTGAAAATGATTGAATTTAATTCAAGTATATTGATAAAAATACTGTTATTTCTATCACAAAATTCATGTTTTCAGTGCCTGTTGTCTCTTACCTCTTTATGATGTTAAAATTCTACTTTATAGAATGTATGCATGTATAGTAATCTATGGATATTGCATTCAAGTCTTTCTCAAAGCCTTACATTTCTAGGTATAATCTTTTTTAAGGTTCTTTCTACCATTGTCACTGTACTTAATTATGAATGACAGCCATTTTGTGCCAAGGAATCTATCATGAGGTTGACAAAATGATGTAAATACTTTGTATCCCAAAAATATATGTATATGGCACTGTCTCCTCTAAATGAATACTTACTTACTTTTATAATGTATGTTCATGATTTTCGATGTCAATCAAGTTTCTAGATATTAATATTATTCTCTGATTTGGAGTTGAGTACAAGATCAAGAACATGTACCTGTATGCTAGTGTGGTCATTGAATTCAAGTTCATATACATGTACAATGAATATCTAGTTTGAAGCAAAGAAAGGAATGGAGATTATGACTAGTAAATATGTGCCAGTCACATCAAATGAGGGATGCTGGGAATATATTTGTTTTTATCATTTTAAATATTTTTTTTTTTTTAAATCAGTACTATTGTACCTTTCACTTCAGTCATGTTAAATGTCCTCAATCTATTCAGCTTATGTTCTCAGGAAACATTTATGCTCTCTTACCTTTACACAATTTGAAGGTACAAACAAGTTACAAGGAAGAACATAGTCCAGATTACTCTTGCCTTTCTGGTTTGATCAACATAATTCACTTTAGACTACTCTTATCTTCTTCATTTGATAAATTTGTTCAATCCAAAATGTCCTTTTTTTCTGGTTTAAGCAATATGTTCATCCCAAATAGTTGCTGTCTTTCTCGTTGGTTAATATGTGCAATCCGGATTATTCTCATCTTGCCAATGTGGTTCACCCTAACCTAGTTTGTTTGAGGCATTGTTTGTCATCCATATCAACCTCTTATTGACATAGATAATAAAATAAATATAGACAATGTATTATGCAACCCTTTGCAACAAAGCTTGATCCTTCAAATATGTACACGGTATGGAAATACATTTTTCATGAAATCAGTGAAAAAGAAAACTTGCATTCTAAAGACAATGAATAAATTTAGATTGTGAATGTAGGCATGTATGCAATTATTGTAATATACATGAATGTCAGAATTATTCTTTATTGACTATAGATTTTAAGAGTTTTCAGATGTCTATTGCCAAGTGGTTTTCATTTTGAGTAATCTGATTGTTTCACTGATTAAACATGATGTGTATGCCATATCTAATGATAGAAATTAAAAGAAAAACAAATGATATTCTAGTGAAGAATTTTTTTAGATAATGGAATCTATTTAATTTAGTTGTTTTTGTGTTCCTATTTTCCTTCATTTTTGGTAGAAAGGTGGCCAGCACCCACCCCGCAAATCTCTATCTGCAGTTTCATGCAGCTCATTGGATTTCCCCTCTCTTCCCGTTTTCTGAACTGACTATAGATACCTTCTTATCTTTACAGGTTATGAATTTTGCTCTTTTTTTCTCTTAAAGGGATCCGGTAACTTTGTCTCAGATTCTGAAACAAAATTCTAGATTTAGCTCATGCTGCAATTATAATTATGAACCTTTAGGTCAGTCAGGAACCCCATGACTTTTTCAAGCCGATCGCCTGTCTGATTATCAAAATATTTATGATTGGAATTACGAATTTTGAAAACCATTTGCCAAACGGTTTTCATAACACTACAGTCTAATGGGGAAAACAAGTATGGTAAAACTGGTCACTCAAAGATTATTACTTTTTTGTTGATCATTTTGAAGCGCAACTTTTTTAGGGCTTCAATTTTACACCATATCACAAACACTGATAGCACGTAGGGCCTTGCATGTATCTCATATTTCACATTGTTAAATGATCCCTTTAAGAGCCTCTTCCTTCATCATTATGTAGTCAGTGATTCGTCCCATCAAATACAATACTGGTTCTAAAATCTTTGTTTCCAATGGTGCAAAATGAACAATGCATTTAAAGCCCCATTGCACTACTTCTAGCTACTTGCGCCCTCTATATAGCAAACAATGCTTTATTGGTGCATGTTGGTCCCCCATGATCCCCTTTTTCTTATGATAATTGAGAGCTGATTTGATGAGATATGACCACCTGTCAGTGGCCTTGCAGGGAGGTCTAATCCCCCCTGGCCAAACTAGTGCAGATGGGCTTTAAAGGAAGTGATTTCAGACACTTTGAATTGAGTAATCGCTATTTCACATCTTTGGAGTATGATTCATCATGGCAGATGCAAGTTGAGCATTAATGCAAGAAGTAGTGAAGTAGTCTTTCGCAAGGCCAAGATAACTGTTGAGGAATGGTTGGAAAAGAAGGAACAACAATCTCGAAAGAAACCAAGAGAATGAAGGAAAACATAAAAAAGGTGGAGAACAGAGGGAGAGAGGGCTCTAAAGAAACTTGGCGGAGCGGTGATACAAGAAGAGAGAGAGAGAGAGAAAGAGGGGGGGGGGAGAAGACAAAGAGAGAACATTAATTAAGAATCAGAGAAAATTACACAGGAAAAATAGAAGAGAAGAGAAGAGAGGAGAAAGGGAGATGGGAGTGAGGAAGCAATGAAGAGATCTGCTTTCTTTCATGTAACTTGACAAAAATGGAGAAAAATACATGTCCACGTATATGAAATGTTATTGAAGATAATGATGTTGTGCTGTTGCAAAGATACATGGAAATATAGTACCTTTCTGCGTTAAGAATTGAAGACACGTGGATGTAATATTCGAGGAGAGGAGATGAGCACGAGCGATGAATTATACATGCCTAACTAAACATGCCTTCCATATTTCAGAACAAAAAAAAAATATTTTTAGCACGAAATATCTAAAAATGCAAGGTCACTACTACTCGTGAAGTTCTTCAGTGGAAATTTGTTTTTGCCGGATGCAGTGATCCCAATCTAACGCTCGAGAATTAGGTGATGACAAGATTAGGATGCAATCACTGAGCACTAGGATCAGAAAGAGGCAGATTTGTCGAGCAGGAGCATGAGACATCATTGATTTGGGGTGGGTGCATGCACTAGCTGGGATGAGTATTCGTTACTCTGTCACTAATGCGAATCTTGTCTAGTAAAATGACATTTCTTTTTCTTTATAATGCTCTCTATACATCTTTTATTTCGTTTTCGCGCATTCCTTCTATTTTCCCCTGTTTTCCACGTTCTTCATCTCTTAACCCTCTCTCTTCTTCCCTTCTCCTCTCTCTCTCTCTCTTTCTCTCTCTCTCTTTCTCCGCTACCTTCCCCTCTCCGTCTGTCTCATTTCTTTCATTTCTCTAATTCCTTCTCTCTTCTCTATACTTCCTTTCTTTGACACCGTCCTTATACCCCCTCCCCATAACCAACCGTCTTTCTCTGATCAACTGACAACAACCAAATTGTGATAATGAGGTACGCAATTAAACTGCTTGTAATTTCGTATGAATTCTCGACACAATAAATATCTATCGTTTTAATTTCTTTATAAAGAACATTGATTAAAGAATCATAATATTATGTGAATTACAATAAGATCATCCACATACAACGTATGTGCAAGAGGAAAATGCCATATGATGGCTAATAACTCAATCCTGTGTTCATTGGGTAGCTACCCAATGAAAGCTATGCGTGTTCTAAATTAACATATATTTTACATATTTTTCAATAATACACGACTTTGCCTTCTCTAACAAATACATTACTTTAAAAGGCCCTTGATTTATTGTGGGTGTAAGTGAAGAGAATTGTCATTACGATCACGCTTTGACAGCACGGTAGTTTTCTCCCCCCCCCCCCTCCACTTAGCATCATACATGGATGTGTATACTATGTTCCTGTACTTTGCTATCACATTTTCTGTGTTTAACAACATGTCAGCCTTGAATTGATAACCAAAAGAAAGTTAATTTCCAGGTTGGGAATAAGATTTTTCGATAGGTCTGTACTTTTTTCAGTCGCTTGTCAGCCTTATTTAGATAATCATATACATTGCTATATTTACCAGGGCCGTTGTGTGGGAGTTTTAATTGCTAACAAGATATCGTAATTCTAAAAACGCTTATAATATGATAATGCCGCCTGTACATAAAAGTTGTTTTCAAAATAATTTCTTTTAAATTTAATCAGTTCATTTAGTTCTAACTTGACGTTTCGTATAAAATTAAATGTGATCGAGAGAAAAACCAAGAGTAGTAGTAGGCACATAGGCCTACTCATGATAATCAACATAGCTTTTAGCCAAATATTTATATAATATATATATATATACCAATTTTTGCATAGATGCAATGGTATCTCACACTAACAGAAAATCGGTAAAGCACATGAATTCACGTTAAATGTATCTTTTAACAGTTATTTGCATGGTCACATATTTCTAAAAACTGTACCATATACGTTGTCTTCCCTTATTAGAGTGAGGCACATATCAGTTTTAGACCATATATTACAGAAAGGGATTTAACATTTGCTATACTATTATGTGTTATTTGTGGCAGATGACGACTCCTTCCTAAAAATACTTAATGAAGTATAGTATATAGTATTCTCTTCTAAAAAAAAGCTTGCGTATATGAAGGATTGTGAAACATTAATTTAACTTCCCACTATCTCCATATTCCAAAGTAAACGAAATTTCAAGTGCATATCGACTATTATTTTTACAAAATCGAAACTCATAGCGTATTCAATCTCCAATCAAATAAATATTCCAAAAGACACTTTAGGGTAAAGAATATACATGTACAATAATATGTTGCTATGACAACCTATATGATATAGAATGTTCCCAAATGTTATAGTTAATCTACTTACACTGAATGGACAATAAATAAACTTCATAATATTAAAATACATCTTGGCGAAGGGTAGCATAATTACATTACATTACATTAAACATGAAACGTGATTTCCTGAGAGTGAGCGTACATTCCAACAGTGCATCTCATTAGAGAATCAATGAAAAATGGGCGTGTCAGGGGCGTAACCTAAAAAAGAATATAACATACTCTTGAATATAGTTTTCAGAATGCCGATTCACTAGAGGTATGTTAAGAATATGTTTACTCTGGAACTTTACATGTCAGTTAACATAGAATCTAACTTAATTTATTAGAATAGCGCCCGTTTATAGATATAAAAAGACAAGAGGGGGAAGTGCATAATCGTGTGTGGGCACTATTATATTCCTTTACGGGCAATATTATTTGCAAATTTGTGTTTTTTAGTTCATAGTAATTATATTGTAGGCATTGATTTCGAGATAATTTCTCCTCTTGATGAAGGAAATTTACTTTTTAATGTGAGTAAACCAGCAAAGCTTGAACAATACAGCTTACAAGAAAGGTGATCAGTCAGATGAAACGAAAGGTTATATACGAGATTCATCGATTAACTAAGAACTAGGAACAGTATATTATAAAAATGTCCATAATTATTTAGATTATTTTAAAATATCAAACGAAATAGTACTTGGTTCAATCAATCAATGTCATTACACAGTTATGACCACAAGTCGCTTACAGCCATAAAGTCAATTTAGTATAAACATCAGCGAGTTGAATTTTCTTGAAAACTCGACCTAGTTGACCTCCTCGTGTCTCTCCAATAATTTAATGCTTCCTTAATATTCATGATGGGTTTCATTTGTGACGACGTTGACGTTGATGGTGCCGACAATGGTAAAGGAATTTCATGATCCGTTGGTAAATCAGTATCTCTGCTTCCCCAGGGGTGTAAAGGATCGGAGAAAGTCAGAGGTTGAACCTGGCACTGGCCTTTGTACATGATTGCTAAGGTGGTGTCGCCGGTGGTACATCGGACTACACTTAGCACGCATTCGTTGGCGTACGTCTGGCCATCGGACCCGCAGATGAAGTCGAGTACGACAGGGCACGATGACGGACAGAAAGTTGTCGTAGGCGACGGCGCTATCGTCGGGACTGCAGTCGATCTCGGGATGTGTGATATTGGTGGTGTCGTCACCCGGCCTCCAGGTGCTTGACCAGCAGTGGGTCCTGGATCTGTAGAGAATTTAAAACATATTGAGTGATATCGACATGATTCCTTACAAGAAACAAAAATGCACACTGGTTTAAAGGTATTAATTAGCAAAGCTATATTTAAAGCGATGATATTGAAGAAGGCGGTTAAACACAACAAATTTTATAGGCTAAATACGATTTCAATGTCGATTGTCATCTCAATTTTTTGCATGTGTATTGCTAGATAGCCCGGTGGGGTCACTCAATGTGACTTCCGGACCGCATGACCGTTACCACAAATGCATATAACCCCCTTTTGCGGTCAATTTCAAGGACATTTTGTTTAATTTAACCCCCTTTTTTACGTCAAAACAAGGACAAAATCGTACTTTGGAATACCCCTATTTATAAGATTGTAAGGACACTTTCGCAAATTTACCCCTATTTTACCATATTTCAAGGACAAGACTCGGCTCCGAGAATTTTTCTTCCTGGTTTTCTCTTTTCCCTTCCCGGTTTTCTCTTTTCCCTTTTCCTGACCCCTATTTATCAATTTCGAGGACACCTGTGCACCCCTATTTTCTTTATTTCGAGGAATATTTTGTCCGCGGACATTGCTTGAAATTGACCCCTTTTTCCGCGATTTTGGTAACGGTCATGCGGTCCGGAAGTCACATTGAGTGACCCCACCGGGCTATAGTCCTCACATAAATATTGATTGAGATTGTGCACCTTGTTTATCTCCGGTTGAAATTAGGGTTTAAATAGAAGTACAAAGATTCAACATTTACCTGATGTTCCTGGGTCTGTGCCACCAGATCCTCCTTGTCCGCCTCCAGATCCTCCTGCTGTACCAGTACCCGTACCACCACCACCACCACCACCACCACTTGCACCACCTGCATCACCTGCACCGCCGCCACCACCACCACCACCACCACCACCACCACCGCCACCTCCGCTACTACCACCAGCACCACCTCCACCAACTCCAGTTCCACCAGTGCCTCCGCCTCCACCACCGCCTCCATTTCCTTCATTTCCTCCTGCTCCTCCTGCTCCTCCTGCTCCTCCTGCTCCTCCTGCTCCTCCTGCTCCTCCTGCTCCTCCTCCTCCAGTGCCGCTATCACCAGTGCCTCCGCCTCCACCACCACCGCCGCCTCCATTTCCTCCTCCTGCCCCTCCTCCCCACGTTCCTGTTCCTCCGCCATGTCCCCCTGCTTCTCCACTTTCTGTGCCACTACCTCCTCCGGCTCCCGCTCCTCCTCCTCCAGATCCACCATTGCCTCCACCTCCTCCACCATTTCCAGTACCTCCATCTGGACCTACCCCACCACCACCACCTCCCCCTTCACCTCTACCTCCACCGCCGCCGCCACCACCACCACCACCACCACCACCACCACCTCCAGTTCCTCCTCCGCCCGCATCACCACCACCACTTCCTCCTCCAGCGCCTCCGTTTCCCTTTCCTCCCCCTCCTTGTCCACCTGCGCCTCCTCCTCCTCCTCCAGTTCCTCCACCTGTCCCTGCTCCACCACCACCTCCTCCTCTTCCTGGATGACCTTTGCCACCTCCAGACTCATCGTCATCATCTTCCTCGCTCTCCTCTTCTTCGTCATCATCCCTATCATCTTTATTTCCTTTCCCAGGTCTCCTCCCACCGTGACCATGGTGACCGATTTCAGTAGCTCCTCCGACTCCATCTCCTCTTCCAGATGATGATGAAGGTGGTCGAGTTATCCTGTGCCCCACGTGATGCCGACTTTCCTCTTCGTCATCATCTTCCTCTTCATCGGCACTCACACGCACGATGGTTAGGAAGGCAAGTATAACGATGAAAAGCCAGGATAATTTCTTTAGTCGCATCGTGTCAAATGTCGAGGCTGTGAAGAGAATGAAAACAATTTATGATAAACAACAACATGAACAACAGTCCTGAGTAATTAGAAACAAGGTGCTCTTTGGGGGCAATGTTACCAACCGTTAAGTGTAATCGAAGAGCAATCATAATTTCATAAAAACATATATTTTCCGTGGTGATTGAGGACTAGTTAGCACCGAAGCAACTACAATATCCACGACATCAGACAATGTAGAATACAAATTATCTGTGAACATAATGGGTAGGAAATTAGCAATACCATTCCCGAACATGCAGAAAGCACAATTGAAGTTATGATTTCTCGAAACCGAAACATATCAAAAATTGTTCCTTTGAAGGCGTTCAAAATCATCGAATAATTTCTGTAAAAACAAAATAATTTGTAGGAGAAGTACCCTGTGGTTGTGATGTTTCACTGTATTGTCTCTCTCTCTCTCGTAGGAATGTGCTTTATACAATGACTGGAAATAACTACAGTAATGACATGCAAATGTTTACTACTGGACTTTATCCCCAATCTGTTGCCTTGACGATGGATAACTCTAATCAAAATTAGGAATCAGAATGGGATTTGGGATGGCTAAGAAGTTAACAATCGCATAATCTCTCAAGCTCGGGGATAGTGTTACCGGGACATCATGGCCGATATATATCTATTTATGGGGTTGCCTTGCCTACCATTAAAGCGAAATGTTTGTTACATAATTTCCTCAAATATTTTGTTCAACTTATTACATTTACAACGAAAAGGACAAATTCTTGTTTATTTTCTTGTTTCACCTATGTAGGATATTGAAGTAACTCAAGCAAAAGAACGTAAGTCACGTAAAACGTTAAGTTGAGTAACAATGCAAAATGAATAAACTTTAAAGTGGATGCTTACCCAGAGGTTTAATGTTTTCTCTACCGTATCATTTCTATCAACCTTTATTAAAAAATACTTCTATAAAAAATACTTCTCAATAAGACATAATATATGTTATACACATCGTTTTAATTTTTTTTACCCTTTTAGGCTTCTGTTTTTGCCTGATTAAGATAACTATCCCTTTTTAAAACAGGCAGTTTATGCAAAAATATGACAGCTAAGGTCTCTCGACCAGACAGGATATCATTGAGTTAGTCTGAAATGATTGACCTTCATACGAATAACATGCGGGCGTAACGATGGCTCGAGCAGACAACATAATTAATTTCCTTCTTAGATACTGCTTTTTTTCCTTTCCATTTGCAGTTTTTGTGAACATTACTGAACATTTTTGATGAATTCTCGATTAATAAATATTTTATGTATAGGGCTAAACTTTATTTTAGATATGAATATATTTGTATATAATGTATACAGTACACGCTTACAGTTGCGCCATGTGAGAGAGGGGAGGGGGATTGGGGAATCATGAAAAGGACTGTTGGTAGTCCTGAAAAAGAACTGTTAATTGGTAATCTTTCTTGAGCTCATTAGCGCCGGTTGGAGAGGATAGGTAGTAGGAGTGGCTCGACGATTCGAACAGGTTGACTATCCGTCGTCAGGAGTGACCAACCGGCGCTATTGTTTTCTCTATATAGAACTATAACCTCAAGAAAGATTCTGACAGTCCTTTGCAACCGTGCAACTGTAAGCCTGTATACTTTATATCTACATCACCATGCAAGCCGATACTTATAAGCAGCATCTAATAAATGAATTGCATCGAACTCTAGAACCTCTAAACAAATATTGTTTGAAATTAGCAAAATAAATTACCGTTTTGTGTTATCATTATTTGTTATAACATCACAGCTAACCCTAAATACGACACAATGTAAAGGAGTTCATCATATTGGTCCATGCTATCAATTTGGCATTCGAGCCCCAAAACTTCCCTCTTCAAGATATCTCCCCTATCAACTGAGCGAATGTACCCCCTAGCATGTAGGGGAAATTTAATCTTCATTTGGAAGAAATTATTCGCCACGCTATATAAAATTTAGCGATTGGGGACCGCACATTAATATGTCATTATAATGATTAGAATTCAGTGCTTTACAGAGAAATGGTTCAAACAATACTTTTGTGTAAACAAATAAATAATACTTTTTGCGTAAAACAAGACTCGACTCATCATCGAAATGATAACAATCTTAAATAGAGACTTCCTTTCACAATAATTCTTGTCATTCATGTCGCTTTTTGAAATGAATGCATGATTCACAGTAATAAACACGTTGAAACAATAGTATCCATGGTGTCAATTTCTTCGTGAGGAAATACTAAACTGGCCCAAACAGATCAAATTTTAGCGGTTAAACGGTGACAACATCATCATAACGAGAAACAATTGATATCATGTTGCCTTATTAAATTCGCACCCGTCCAATACCTGTAACTGAATTCCTTTCTAATCGACTTCATATTTACGTTTGCCTTTAAAACCATGCAGCAAGCGTGAGTTAAGATGTCAATGCTTAAAAAAATAATTATACGAAATAATTTCTCATAATTATCTACTTACCACTGTGTCTGATTAAAAAAAAATCCACCAGGTACCGACAAGAAGTTGTCAAATGCCTATTCCTCTTAAATCCTTCGCTCTATGGAAAACACAGTCCACGTGAGTAAACGTTAGTATTCCTTTTAAATCTGTGTTTGATTTCGGAAGAGAGTGAAGCTCAAAGATTTTTCTCGTTGTCTCTCACACTCTGTTCCTCGGTATGAAATATTGACGCATTAAGAGCAGTAAAATTAAGTTAAGTACTAAAGTTGACTTCCTCTTATGCTAAGCCGACGTATTATGTGATTGTGATCTTCCAAGCAGTCTTCAAGCAGTCGTCTCTATAAGCACAAGTCAACCATCAAGATCCACTTCCAATTCAATAATTGGCAAGCGGTTCGCTGCTATTTCTGGCCTATCATTAAGCTATATTTCCACATTGTTTGATGAACGCGCGTTTTACCGTCAGTCAGTCTTTGAACTTTATTTAGCTATTATGAATAAATTGCTTGTGATGCGGAGTGTAAAATGTTTTGGTATCGGGTGAAACTATAAGCTGAAATCATTGGATTGGTTCCGGTATTGAAGCTGACGATCTTCCCGGGCTCAGTTCCTCTGATAATAATGGACTTCAGTTACAGAGATGTGTCACATATCCGGACCTTATCAACACCCATGCATGCATTGTCAAAGTGAATCATACCGTTTTTCGGACTAAACCCCCACCCCTTTAGTCTGTATTTATTGCAGTTGTTACTGTTTTGGCTGAGATAACCAAGTTTGCACACAATTATTGGTGAGATCGTTCTCAGACCGACTGTCTGATGCACCGATATACAGTATTTAAACTTTGGGGGTTTCCTCGTAATGACGACAGTGGTGTAGCACAAACGTTGCACCCAAAGCATACAGTGGTAAAACAGAAACAGAAACAGAAACAGGGGGAGAGAGAGAGAGAGAGAAAGAAAGAGAGAGAGAGAGAGAGAGAGAGAGAGAGAGAGAGGGGGGGGGGGGGATGGGGAAGTACTGTAGGAATTGTTGAAGAGACAGTCAAGAGATACAACTTAAAGGTAGGCTTTACTACTGCAGCTAGAAGGGATTAGACCACACAGCGAGCCAACGAGGTCACTGTGACAGGTGGCTATCTCATTAACTCAGCTCTCATTTAACATAAGAAAAAGAGGATCATGGGGGACCAACAGGCACCAATTTGGGAAGTTTTCTATATAGAGGGAGCAAGTAGGTACAAGTAGGACGTGTGCCTTTAATTGCTAAAAGACCTTTCCTCGCATTCCTCGTGTGTGTGTGTGTGTGTGTGTGTGTCACCCCCTTGATCTAAATCACCCTCTCGGATTGCCACTGGATAACGACATAAAAGCTCAGACGTTGTAGGAATCAATGTGATGCGATGTTTCATCGTCACTGTCATTACCACCATTACATTCCTCATGCACCCTCAACATCGCCATAATCATTATCGTCACCCTCAACATCACCAGGCGCGGATCCAGGATTTCTTAGGGGAGGGGGCCCAACTTTTTTTTTTTTTTGCTCCCGAAAATTTGAAAATCGCGCCGGCCGAAAAGTCGTTCAGTGGGGGGGGGGGGGGGGGGGGGGGGTACAGAGCACAATTTTTTTTTTTTTTTTTTTTTTTTTTTTTGCTCCCGAAAATTTGAAAAACGCGCCGGCCAAAAATTCGCTCAGTGGGGGGGGGGGGGGGGGGGGGGGGGGGGGTAGTGAGCACATTTTTTTTTTTTTGATCCTCAAAAAAATTTCAATTTGCACCCCCCCCTTGAGCGCCAGGGGGGGGGGCCCAACCCCCCAAAAAGGTAAAAATCACGTGATTTTACATGATTTTTTTCTCAAGGGGGGGGGGCCCGGGCCCCCCGGGCCCCCCCCCCTGGATCCGCCACTGAACATCACTACCATCCACCTCCTCCTCATCATCATCACAATCCCATCATCGTCACCATCATCATCCCACCACCACCACCACCATCATCATCATCATCATATCACCATCATTATCACTAATACCATTGTTATCATCTTCAATATCAACATCTTCATTATCACCATCATCATCATAATCACCATCATCACCATCATCACCATTGTTATCATCATCTCATCATCATCATCATCATTACCACTATCATCATCGTCATCATTGTTGTTATCATCATCTCTTCATCAATATTTAAATTATCATTATCATTATCATCATCATTACCATCATCATCAATCATTTTTAATTATCATCATCATTATCATCATCATCATCATCATCATTGTTATTATCATCATCACTACTGGGCAATATCTTCATTATCATTACTATCAACACTGCTTAGCATCGTGAACAATGGAATAATCTCACTTTTTGTATAGCAACAAAACTAACTTCTGACCAGAGGCATTGAATAGGCATTGCATTTGACATTAGTCATATGGGCTGTTTACAAACAAAATTATTCAGCTGCTTTTTAATATTCCACACAACTCATTAATATATAATTTAATGCATGAATAATAATTTTCTTAAAGAAATGGTACTTATACTGATAGAAAGTTGCATTAACTCTACTGGGCAAATCAGTTTTCGTTTAACTGCCAGGAAAAGTCCATAACTACCATCAGCGTTGTCAGGAAAAGTATGCAATTATTTCAAGATTGGGGTGTTGTTTTAATCAGTTACAAATTATTGGCCGAAATTAGGTTGCTGTGTCATGAATGAAATACCTTAATCTATTTCCATTCCGTCTTTTAGTACTCGCCAATATCCCCATCATCACCGAGGGAGCAAAGAACCACACAATCTTGATTCTCGGTATTATTAGCATAAGGACCTTCAATAATCCTTGAGCAGTCTTCAATACATATTATTAAGGTTTTTGTATTATTCACACCTAAAGCGTAAAGGTGTCGTGATCGAGTGGATATGGCACCGGACTGTCGATCACAAGGTCCGCGGTTTGAGTCCCACCGCGGCACTACTGTCCTTTGGCAAGACATTGATCTACAATTGCCACAATCAACCCAGGTGATGTAAATGGATACCTGGCAGGAATTAATTCCTTGAAATGCTTGAGTTATACAAGAATCCAATATTATTAGTAGTAAGTGGTTACGGTATCGTGACCACTTACTACTTATAATATTGGGCAATGTGAATGAGAGAATTTCGTAATCATTCTTTCCACATCCTCACTATTTCATTCCTTTTTACTATTTATACTTCTTTTTTAAAACTATAAATTGCATGGTTTTTAACAACATGAATTTCCACATTTTGGTAACCATTGTATTTTCTTGTTGTTTTTTCTTTTTTTTCTTCTTTATCGTTCTCCTTCGTTTAAAGTTCTTCCCAGTCTTCAATACATATTATTAAGGTTTTTGTATTATCCACTCATCGGTTTCTTTATGACTTCGTGCTATTAACAGAAAATAGTATCAGTGGTTAACATTGATGACTAACGGTTAAGACACATGACATTCATGGTATTGGAAACAAATTATGAGTCACGCTTGAGATAATTTCATGCACATTATGACTTAAATAACATGATTTCATCGTGGTGGACACGTTGCTTCAAAGCCTACAAATTTACATGTAATTTGTCTGACTGGGTTATTTTAACTTAGGTTAAAAAGGAAACTGATTGGAAAGGAAGAACATCAAACATGGATAGTCATCCTTTTTTTAAATATTTTTCTTTAAATTGATATACGATCGATATACTCACAGATTAATAGGGATGGCATCGAGATGACTGGGGGGGGGGGGGGGGGGGGTGAGCTTTTGGCAAATTTTGAGATAAAATTCTGATACGCATGCTGTCAGGATCGGCGTTTGGGTATTAGGGATGAGGGGAAAACTGGAAACTGCCGGAGGGCATTTTGCTATCCGGCTCTTAGTCAACGATAATTTTAGTGTTTACATATTTAAAAAAAATATATATATATTCATAAGAATATTACTAGTAGACGCTCTTCTTTAATTATTTCCTCCCATCTCTCTCTCTCTCTCTCTCTCTCTCCCTCTCTCTCCCGCAGACCCAGTATTTCTCCTCTCTCGATCGTCCGACTCCCTTTTTAGTCTAGTAGGCCTATCAATGTGCCAAACTGAGATGTATAATGGTACTATGTAGGAGGTCGAGGACTGAACTGGGGTCCAGATAGCAATCACAGATTGCAGGATAACTCTTTGACGTTGTTGGAGAAAGTTAGAAGAACGTCTATATACTTCAAAGACGATTAAATAATAAACTATTAGACACCTTTAGTGCTACCTGCCTCCTTTTTTTTCATCTTTTGTTATTTGATTATTCTTATCATTAAAAATTAAAAACAAACAATCATATAACAACAAAATTTCTTACACCCCCCCCCCTACCCAAATCCCTCTCAATAAAATCGACTGAACGATGATTTAGTTTACAGCTAGCTAGAGTAGAGGACGCTATTTATTTTCACAACGGGAAATCCTGAAATCAATCTGAGAATGATTCTTGTGTATAAAAAAAAATGATACTTTATACTTGTAGTTATCAATAGACGGAAAATACAATGTAGATATTAGGAGGTAAGTACACACTGTGATGTATAAGTAGTATACTTTGGTGCCAAATATGATTAGAGTGGGTTTGATTACAGCTAATGAAAGAACTTGTAAATTTGAGCGTAATATTTTGTACTTGTCCCACTTGCTTGTTTTTACGTTGTTAATAATGTCACGCCCTTGTTCGCGCAGTAAAACAAGAATGAAAAGTAATTAAAAAAATACAAATAAATGAAGAGGCGTAGGTCGATAAAAGATTTTATAAACCTTTTATTCGATACCTTTATAGTATTTTGTTTAAGGTCTACTGGAGACTTGATGGCTTTAAATTTGGCACCGGCATATGATATTTTATTCATGTCATTGTCAAATTTGTAACTTGCAATTTGTAGACCTAGAGTAAAGGAGCCGGTAATCGGATAGACCGAAAGCTTCAGTCTCTATACCGTCGGTTGTTCCACTGAGACTACGTCTGGCTCCACTAGACCTCCGGTTATAGAGACAGAACGATCGCCTATGCCAGCCTATGTTGAAGATATCACGGCTAGATTTTAGCCGTTAGGCCCCTCCCACAAACATGAACAAACTTGCCACGGCCGTATTGTTATGCCCCCAAAATGCCCCAAAATGTCATTTTACCTCGTCCATATCCAATTTTACATTAGGCCTAGGCTATAATACATCGGTTCCACTTACTAACTTGATTGAAATAATCCGTTTAATGGTCCCTTTTAAGGAAATTATGGGTCAAAATCGACATCCATGTTGAAAATCTTGCAAGCCGTGTTAAACTCTCGCTGACGTCAATCTCATCCCTTCTAGTCTACGCCGAAGGCAAAATGATTATGAAGGAAAAACTGTGCGCAATCTACACGTTCGTAATGGCGTTATCACAGTTTTTCCTTCATAATCATTTTTGCCTTCGGCGTAGACTAGAAGGGATGAG